AATAGCGATGGCCTCCAACCTAATAGCGATGGCCTCCAATCAAATAGGGATGGCCTCCAATCTAATAGCGATGGCCTCCAACCTAATAGCAATGGCCTCCAATCAAATAGCGATCCTAGAAGCGATGGCCTCCAACCTAATAGCGATGGCCTCCAATCTAATAGCGATGGCCTCCAACCTACTAGCGATGGCCTCCAACCAAAATTGAAATGGCCTCAAAATGCCTCAAACATACTAGCGATGGCCTCCAACCTACTAGCGATAGCCTCCAACCTACTAACGATGGCCTCCAATCTACTAGCGATGGCCTCCAACCTAATAGCGATGGCCTCTAAACCCTCCAACCAAAATTGCGATGGCCTCCACCTAATGTGAGTCTGTGAAACCTGGCTATAGGTTCTTGACAATCTCTGACAAGCATTCATACCAGCTCTCTGAGGAAACCTGAAATCATGGGGAATCCGGGCACAGCAGTCGTTTGTGCAAACACCTCTCATTGACCACTCATGGACCTCTGGGGCAAGGGCTCGTAGCAATGCCAGTCTCATTTGGAGCTGCATCCTGTCAAAGCAAGCGGGGCCGCAAAAACCAGTCCTGCTGTCTATCGCCTAAGGACGACCACGAACGAACGAACGAACTAACGGACACAAACAAACAAACGAACAAACAAACCTTGGGTTTTCTTGTCTAGTTCACAAATCTACACCATTGTCTTGCCCCTTTCAGAGCGAAACAAGCACCTGCATCGTTCTTTTGGCTATTGCATCATGGTTTGGCCCTTGGCCCTCGATCCCAACCTTCCTTCTTCAAGGCCAATCCATTGCTGTTGCGTCCTGCACTTCAATCCTCCATGCTTGCATCACCCCATCGTCCCCTGGCGAATTCCGGGCACCGCGCGGCGTAGCCGGTGTCCATCCGGTCCATCCGGCGTTGCCGGGTCCACGTGGACCGGTCGGGCGATCGCGGACATTGTCCGGTGCTGAGACAAGGATTTGATGCCGCAAAAGGTGTCAAGTCCTATACCCCTCCTCAGGTGTCAGTATGGTAACTGGAAGGAAAGAAACACATACTGTCTCTTTCCAAATGCTGGCCAATGCTGTTCGTGCCTGTCGACAGCTCAGCAGGAAAGAAGCCCTGCACCTGAACATGAGGGTGAACCGGGTGGGATGCCCTACCTGAGTCTGAGTTGGGGATAAGATATTATCAGGATATATGGTGAGATACGGCGAGGTCTATGTGCCAAGCAAAGAAAAACAAAGCTATAGTTGAAACTGCCCCGACAAAGGCCCCTGCACTGAAGAGATCAGCATCAACAAAGCTGAGCTGTCTAGGCAAACCAAAAGGTTCTCAAAACTCCAAACCCATTTGCCATAATAAGATGTACAAAATAAAGTAAGATATAGTAACGTATAATATAATGTAATATGATATAATATAACATTATATTATAGTATAGTATAATATATAATATATATACAGTATATCATAACACGGTCTTAAACTCGACCTCAAGAATCACATAAACCCACCCAAACATCTTCTTGGACACCTACCGTGTTCTTTCGTTTTCCCAGCTCTTCTGCCCCCCGCTCTTCCACTCACCTCCAAACTCCACACGTCGGAGGACTTGAGCTCGCACAGCAGCTCCGCCGCGAGACCTTCGCCCACTTCGGCCGGTGGCCTCACTGGCACGGCGAGCCAGGGGGCCGGTTGAGAGAATGGATGCCAAAAGCACAGGATCACAGGGTTGGGATGGGTTGGCAGGAGTTGGTTGAGGTAAAGGATAATAAGGATATGTTTCAGGTGTGCTATATAATCCTATATAATATATAACTTATGTATACGTATACTTACAGTATGTATAACTACAACACAAGGTGTCTAAGATCAGTCTGATCACAGCGATCTTTTCACCCCTTCCACGGCCTGAGACACGCTGAAACCTCCGCCTCGCTCAGGGACATGGCCTGGGCGTGAAGAAACATCCTTGACAATGTGCGACCGTCAAACTTTCCCATGTTGAAAGAAGTGCTATGTGGCGCCTCTGGTATGGTGGACGACTTCCGTAGTGGAGCACATAGTTTGTTTGAAGGTGTCTCTGGGGAGTTTCTAAAAATCTGCCACTCCAATCCGGTACAAGTAGTGTTCAACACCTTCCGCACCTGGAGTTGAACGCCCTCAGCTGCCACGTGCAGCAACTGGCCAGCCACAGTCTGCAAGCAAACGCCTCACCGGGCGTCCACCGAACACGCACCGTTTTTATGGCGAGCCAGTGAGACGTCCATGTGAACAGCAGGCGAACCGATGGATCACACCTGAAAATATGGGTCATGCGAGTCATGCGAGTTCACATTTTTCATCTGGGAGTCTGAGCATGGTGTTCAGACAAGCAAAGAGCACACTGTGTGCATGGCCTTCATCTCTTGGCTCCTAGGCTGTAGGTCGCTGGTTCTTATAGTGAACACCATAGATGAACTTAGATGAACAATGTGAACTTCACCAAACAATGTGCTGCATGAGCATCTCCATGTCCGTCCCATGTTGACCAAATCAACGCAGCTGGGACACTTAGGACCACCAGCGCCATCTCCCCCAAGCGTGGAGGCCGGTGAGCCAGTAAGGTCTTGGCCACCTAGGTCAGTTGCCACCCGGCCACGTTCACATCATGGCCTTCACAGCATTTCACGGCCACTTAGCCATGAACCCTCTCAAAAGGTTGGATCATCATTCATGATGGCACTCTGACGAAGCTGAGCTCCGATCCTCATGCAAATCTGGGGCATGCAAGGGGGAGACCGATGCATTGTGGGCCTGGCTGCAGCCGGTTCTAGGTGAAGACGATATGGTATATTGACCGTGAAGAACAACTGCAGGGTCTGGGGTGATGATTGGTGGTCAGGGGCAGGGGCTCTACACATTTTGATGTTGGGAACCTCCTGACACCGAGCACCTGTGAACATGGTCCTCAACCAGCGTTCGAGGCAGCGTTGTGGAGGAACATTGTTCGTTTATTGAACCATTGGAAAAGGCAATGGACATTTGAAGATGCTACCAATGGTTCACCCTTGGATGTGAAGGCACAAACTGAAGAGCCATGTGCTCTCCCACATTTGACAGCCAAAACCTAGGACCTAGCGCGCCCAATCTCCCAGCGTCGCACACTAGGCCTCAATCCGATCCAACACTCGGAAGGACGTTGCCACCTTGGCTTCCAACGGGGGGCTCTTGTCCGGTGGAAAACATAAAGGGGCCACATTGATGAATTTTATAGAAAAAAACACTAGTCACTAGAATTACATGGACTCTGTCTGTCAAGGCATTCCATCCCTTTCAAAAGGAAGCCGTCCATTCCTTTCACTTCGATGAAATACTCCTCCCACCATCCTCCCTCTAAGCATCACACATCGCCTCGGTTGCTCACCCGTGCGCCCACATGGAGCCGCACCTGCCGTCTCCGTCTCGACCGTCGAGACGGCCGCACGGCGAGGTCGGGGCCTGGAAGCGCACGATGGCCGCGGTGCTGGGCAGCTGGACGTGGTCCAGCAACAGGATGTAACGCCTCGGTGGCCAACACTGCGATGCGTTTGGCATGGCAGCGCGGTGTTTTCGTCCGGATCCTAGACGTTCCTGTGACAAGAATTGACCAGACCAAGAAAGGTGTTCTGATCAGAAACGACATTAATGTTCCCGATACTGATGATTCAATGATTCAATAAAACCCGTTGGATTTCAAGGCCCAGTGCTGCCAGTGTTCATGCGCTTTGCAGGTGGGAGTTTCCCTCCTTTTTGCAGTGGGGAATCGATGTTCGGACGTCCTGAGGACTCCGACCGATCTGCCCGCATGGTGGCAAGACCACCGCAGCTTCCTAGTTGCTCGACCACCAATTCGCCATGCTCCAGAGGAAGACCTGGAGTGACGGTGATTGACGATGATTGAGCCGCTGCCAAAAAGGCCATGTGGATGGACACCATGTACATCGTACGTCTCCAAATCCGCCCGCACCGAAGGTGCTGAGGCGTTGTGTCGGCTCGGGTGAGCTGGAAGAGTAGCTGCAAAAGATACAGCTTAAGCTTTTAGCTTCGGGGGGGACATTATCGGCTCTTGAACGTGTGCTTTTGAGGTCTTTTTTCAACATGGATGAATTGACATTGTGTGTACGATTGTCCGTATGGCTTCGGAGCAAAGGGTTCGCGATGTCGGTTATGCAACCCGAAGAAACTGCAATATTGACATCGTGGGTGTGTTCGTCCGTGTGTATTGCCCGAGCGAGACAGACAGACTGACAGACCAAAACAGACAGACCGAGAGAGACAAACCTCCGTGCAGGCGGCTTTGAGCGCGAAGCGCTGTGAATACTTGTTCCACTCTGCGTGTCGCAGTGTAAGGTTGACTTGCAATGTACGCGATGCTCGAGTCATGCTCGAGTCATGATTCAACCAAAAAAATCGCCTGATGACGACAGGTCCAGCCCCAGTTAGGTCATTTGTGATGTCAGTCAAGGCATCGTCATGCATCGCACCTCCACCGTCCAAAGCAGGATCCACCTGGTGTGAAAGAAAGCTGGTGAGAGAGTGAAACTTGAAGAATGACAGGCCACGAAGGGCCGGCCTGGAGCCCCAGAAGTTCCAGGCAGTGCGACTGAGTTCTGTCAGTATCATTCCAGAAAAACGCCACTGAGGGGGATTGCTTCCAAGCCTCAAACCATCTACCCTCGAGGCCCCCCCATCCTTGGTACAACTTCCAGGATTCTGTCTGATGATATACAACAAACATCCACAGCTCCTATAAAGCCCTTTTGTTACTGCTCGCAGGATGTTTTTGACACAGCTTCTCATTCGGGAAAAAAGCCTTCGCTGCTTTGCTTCCGCCACACGGCTGTGGCCCGAAAATATCAGTAAACGCCGCTCAGCTGGCCTCCAAGAAGGATGCAATCCTCGGCATGGACGCAACGACCATGGGGCCATAGGGTCACTGGCCATGGAAGCAAAAATCTTCTATGCGAGAATCTCAGTCTGAAGACAACCCTATACCAACAACAAACCCTCCTGAAAACGAACATGGATCCTTGAACAAGTGATGTTCCTTGACACACCAGTGGTTTTCAGGGTTCATGTTAGTTTGCAAGGGATCAAGGGGGTAGCTGTCAGGACCTTGACTTCATCCTGCAAACAAGCAGCACTGCTCCGGTGAAATCGAACTCGGGCTGCAACACCTGGCGATGGGCGAATTCAGTTCGCAGTCCTGTGCGCAGTGGTGATTTCGTTCATTTTTCCTTTGGTACGGTAGTACGGAATCCTCCTGACCCATTTAGACTCTTTCAAGGTGATTGACACCAGAGAACAAGTCTAGTAGACGGCGCAACTCTCATGTAGCTATTGGTCTGGATGAAGCGCTACTCCAACTCCATGTTAGTGTGCTGTCAACAGTCTTTCTGATGCAAGTGCCTTTTGAAGTTCATGATGCGCAACCCCTTTTGCAATAAACCTCGTTTCCACTCTGAAAGAGCACTTCATTATCCACCATGATATAATGTATATGATAGAATAACTATGGGCCTCATACTTTGGAAGAGCCTCCCAACCACTGACTGTTCATCCAATCAATCTACCAGCGGGGTTCCAAATCTGGGCCGCTGGGCCCCTGCGCCCCTGACTCCACCGCTGCCTCGAGGGTCCACCGCTCTGCCCCAACGCGCGGAGCCCAAAGCAGCTGCAACTGCACAGGGAAGGCCCCAGTGCGCCTGGCCATGCTGATCCCTTCAGTTTTCGAAAAACCACGGCCAGGCCCTTCTTCCATCCACTTTTTGTTGGGCCAATTGGAGGTAGAATGGGGTGAGTCAAGAAGTGGACCTGACGAGGCTTGATGAGACCTGATGAGACATGTGACAACCAAGGTGTATGTGGTAAAACCATGTAAAACCCAGTGCTCAGTCGGTTCTCTGGTCGAAATCTGTTCATGTTCCTTCCTTTTGAAACTCTTGGCACTTGTGCAAGCCTGCAGGAAAAGATCGATCCAACGACAACATCTGGGATGCAGAAAATGAATGGCCATGAGCTTGGGTAGGTGTGGAATCTTCAGTGTCTTGGTCAGCGGAAGAATCTGCCAGCTATGATCAGAATAATTGACAGCATGGTAACAATGGTCAGCCAAAGAAGGAAACAGCTGGGCTCGATCAGCGAATTACGAGTACAAGCACCCTCCCTGAAACAATCATGGAAGTGGAGACCCCTTCAGACAGTAGAGGAAAACAGTCTTCCAAGGGGCCATGTGCCACTTCCATGTTTGAAGGGAGGGTACCCGATCGGGGTCGACATTTTGGGTCAGTTGTTGACCGATTGGCGTGCTAAAGAGTTTAATGAGGCCATGAAATGGCACAGAAGAATGACTCATCACTAAAGACACCAATTCTTCCTCTGAACTGCAGCTTCTGGTGAGAACCCCAAATCTGTTCATCAAGCTGAGGACAACACAAATAAAAGTTCTTGAGCATTGTTCAGTTTGGATTCCTGGCCCTGGTACATGCGCACAGCCTCAAGTCAGAAACCAGTTCCAGCCGCGACCTTAGGGAAATCACCACCAGGATGGGTTGGTTGATGGACATGTCTACAGCCAATTGGGTGTGCATTACAATAGGAGACCTCCCAAAGACCCCGTGGAAGAAGGAAAATAGACCAGTCTACCCAGCCAGGGCCAGGGGGGTTCTCTATAGCCACACAAAATTGTATAAATTATAGACCGAGCTCCCGGCTCCTTCAATTGCGGAATCACTTGCCAGGACATGAGGTCGGCGCCTCCGAAGGTCAAAGTTACAACAGGTCACAACCAAAATATGTTGCTACTAGTAGCGTCCTTGCTCCTAGTAGCGATGTCAGGAGCCCCTAGTAGCATTCTTGTTCCGACGTAGTAGTAAGGTAAGGCGCCCCTAGTAACCTAGTAGCGTCCTTGCTTCTATTCAAAAGAGTCTGGTAAACATGACTACTTGCGAATTAGAGAATTTGCAATAAAAGCTTGCAAGGGACTCTCCGCCCCATCAAACCCTTGGAATGTCATTCTCAGTGAGTGCCAGTGCTTTCACTTTTCTTTCATTCCTAGCTACTGCGTCTTCAACACTCTCTCCAGGAGACGCGAGAGAAGCTCAAGTTGGATTTGCTCAGGACACCAGGGCCCAAAACATACATCAAAGGACACCAGGGATGATGTTTATGCTTGGCCCCAGCAGGGGATTCACACATATGGCCAAGCATAAACATCATCCGCAAAACCACGTTGACTCGTTGACCTAGGAACGCCCCAGGAATACCGCCAATGGTCGAGGTCCTTTTTCCAACAACCCTGCCGGGGAATTCTACGTTGATGGTCGAGGTCACCTTCAAGGATGGTGCCATTGCGCTGAAGATGAGCTGTCCAGAAGTTGTCCTCGAGCGGCTTTGGATTGTTGAGTTAGTTTAGATCCAACCAATTCTGCGGCTGGGAATCTTTGTGAACTTGTACGAGTTCATGAGTTTCCTTACCCATTTGTCATTTGTACCAAACCAGTCGGAAAATCAGTGCATGCATGCCCATGGCATTCGCCTCCTACCCGTCAGTTGCTGCGAAGTCTGCTGGAGTCTCAGGCAGCTCTTTCAAGCCGCTGGCCGGAGCGAGTTCATGAGTTTATATCTAGAGCGAGTTCTAAAGAGTGGACGAGTTCATCGCTTGATGTCACAGCCTGTCACCCTTCCAACTGGGTTGACACAGTTTTGTCCAAACTTACGCCCTGGGAGATTAACATGGAACCTGAAAATCACTGGGTTGTAGATGAACATCTTCTTCCAAAGGTCTGTTTTCAGGTTCCATGTTAAATCTTCCGGGGTGTATCGTTTAGCAAATTCGCTGGATGCTTTTGTAGTGCATGGTGCATCGTCCTCTTCAGCTGGTGGAAGGACCGCACTGATCACCTCACCGGCAGGTCTCGCTTGCGAGAATCGAAGCGAGAATCGATCGCCTCTATGTTTGAGGGAAGAGCACTGGCATCAACTTGGAATGATGGCAACTCCCTGCTCTTCGGCTATTTGACAGTGGGCCGGGTAGTCTGAGATTTCCCTGGGAGATGTAGTGTCCTCAATGGCCACCGACCAAAGCTGGCCTAAAGTCTGTGGAGGTACAGGAGGCCCAAACTCCTTGTGGAAGGCATGTTGATGAAGTTGGAAGTCCGGTGATGGCAGCATCCTTGACTCATTGATTGTTTCGAGACTGAGGCAGTGGATGCCGGGTCAAAGCCATTGCCACCAAGAACTCTGATTACCATCGCTTGAATGAGAAGGAGAGGGGTTCAACCCAGTCAATATCAATCAACCAACCAAAAAAAAACAACTCACCCGGACCGGTACGCATGACACGACCGGTCCTGCATCGGTATATGCTTCATCCGTCGGGATCCCACCTCGAGATCTATCAGGAGCACATCTTCCACCTCGCTTGACCTCAAGATCCACGGGCATCGCCGCAAGCAACGGGTGCGCGCGGAGCGGGCATGCTGCGCGAACAAAGGGGCTGCTAGGCTGGGCTTTCTGGGTTTGAACACCTGGCACAGAAGATAGCTCACGAATGGACGAGGCAATTTACATGGGTCTGGGTCTAAAAGGAATAGCCAGGGGACCAGCCAAAGGTTTCTTTGCTTGATGTTGTTTGAATGTTGTCATTCGTGATTACATGCCACATTTGAATCAGTGATGCTATTGCTGAGAGTCGAAACTCGTCACTGGGTCTCTCCAAGCTAAGCAAACTACGTAATTTACAAAATTGTCGAAGTGTATCCAAAAATATCTGTAAAATATTGGTGTTTTTTTTTTTTCTCAAGTAAACTAACGTTCAATAATTTGTTGATGTTCATTCACTCCACAAATGAAACTGACTTTCAGTCTGGTTTCCTCACATCTCCTGCAGTGCATGTGCAGGACAGCGAGTAGCTGAGATACATACCACGTCCCCACCAGCAAATAAAGCCTGTTTGATATGCATGATGCCTCAGAGCACACAGAAGCTGCCGGACCCCCAACAAAAACGAGGTGCTGCACATCTCAACATACCTCAACAACTTCAAAACGCGGCTGCCCAATCCTGTTCATGAAAACAATGAAGACCCAAGCTGGGAGGAAATGGGGAGTTTTTCGATGTTTGCCCTCCTAGGCCCTAGTCAACAGCTGGCCAGATTTGTCAGTATATCCAAGCGTCCCCTTGTGAGGCAGGAAGTAAGCGCCCAGTCTCGTCCTCGAGTCCATCGCACCATGCCACGGTTTTCCCGGAGGTTTTTCGGCAAAGGAAGCGATGCAACATCATGGCCACGGTTTTCCCCGACGTTTGCCAACACCAACCTGGAACACCAATCGAAACCGAGCTGTTTTCATCCAAGCTTTCAGTGGAATTAATCACGGTGGCGCGGCTGTGAGGATTGAACTTCGGAGATCAGGGGAACGTTGATTTGGATGGTACCACACAAGCACTGGTGGCACTGTCACACCGGTGGCACTGGCGGCTCTGTCAAAGTCACATTTCTATGTATATACTAATTATTGTCTTTTGTTCCTGAACCACATGCGATTGGCCCACAGCCACGTGAGGTGTGAGCACCCCTCTTTAGTGTGACATGAAACTTGGAAAGTGTACGGCCCTTTTGACATGCACTTGGTAGCTTTGCTCTGCACAACTGGAGCTGCTCTCCATCCATTTTGCCTCAACTATACAGCATGTTCCTTCCTGTACATCTATTTCCTTCCACTGCATGGCATTCCAGCTGGCTTCAAGAAATCCCTAGCCTAGCACCAAGCTGCAATTCCAAGAATTCCAACTTCCCAATACCTCCGTCTTTTGCAGTTCCGATCCACTCCAGCCCACAGCCACCCACTCTCCAAACCACTCCCATTCTCCGGGCAACGCAGGCGTCGAAACCTGCTCTCTCTGTGGAGACCTTCACTCGCCTCGGTCGCATCGTGAAGCATGGTGGAGCACAGAAAGTGCGAGGTGAACCTTGTCATGTTGATTCTATATCATGCATTCTGCAGCTATTTATGCACATCAATTGTTACACATAATGCAAATAAATGTAGTAATATCATGTTTTGGTCTTAACCTTCTTGGACGTTGATTAGTGCTCAACACACAGGTTGAATCAGCACAGCCATATCACCAACGTGGCCAAGGCTTTCTCTGAATGGAAGGTGGAATCACTGGCTGAGGTAAAAGGCATGGAACAGATGAGAGGGAATTAGTGGACCAAAGAAACCCTACACCGCCTACATCCGCCTACTGTTTGACATTGCAAGGTAGAACAAACATTCTTCAGTTCGTCAGCTGCTGTCCGCTGCGGCACAAGAATCACCGTCACTGACAGCAGTTGACGCTGTGACAGCCTCCTTTTGATGCGTTCAGACAATAGACTGAGAACTCGACGCGAAAAAAGCTCCGAGCCATGACAGTTGGAGAATCCAAGGCGGGGACTGCGGGGACGGAGAAGAAACAATACATGGGACAGGGAAGCAGTCCTTTGCTCCCGCTTCTTTTGTTGTGTGGTCATTTCAATTTCAGACTTATCCCAACTGCCCACTGTGCTACAGCCATGTGGCTGGAGCGAGTACGGTCACCCCCAAGCGCTTGCCGACAAAGTCTATACAGCTTATCAAAGCTTGCTTGGGTTGATGAACTGGGCCTCAATGGTAACACCTATCCTTGCAAATGCTCACTTTGGAGCGCATTGCGTGTTTAGCACTGTTGAGTCGAAAACTCGTCTGCATACTTTCTCAGACAACGCCTCTGACATCTGTTGAGCAGCCAGAGCACCTTCAAACGAATTCATGGATCTATACATTGGATGTCTCCGTTGGCAACTGCTCCACCAAGGATCAGGGAGCCAACAGAGACCAGGATCACCGAGGCAATACTCAGCAATGCGCCCGCACTGTGCCGCTGAGCAAGTGGGATCGACTCAGCATCCCCTATATATCTATATGTCATGGTAATCACATAACCCTCCAACATACCACAAAGAGCGAAGGATGAAATGAAAAGAGCTTGACCTCCTGCGGTCATCCACATGCTGCGCCAAAGCCCCAGGGCGGCTGCGCAAACCAAACCACAGGAGATGTACCTTGTGGCTCAGCTCCATTGATCAAAAGAGAAAGAGGCACTCAAAGTCCGACAAAAGCTCTGCAAACATTAAAAACAAAATATAAAAACACACATGTAAATATATAGAGCAATCCACACATCATTATCATTGCTCACATCCGCCGCCGCTCCCTGATACTGGAAACTAAGATAACATAAGTATCATAAGTAAAGGCATATCATATCATCAAATCCGGTTTTAGTCGTTCTGTTGCTGGACATCTCACAACCTGGAAGCTGGCTCATACCCCAAAGACACTTACATTGAAATGAAAACTTGTGGATGGAATGAAAACTCGTGGTTGGCCAGGAAGTGATATCATTCCCTCAACTTGTAGATATTTGTTTGACTTGCCAAAGAAACTATGAACTACTGTGAAATTCTCCGGAGATCTTCGGAAAGGGCCCGTATCTTCCCATTCATGACGGGCCCCGGAACCCGATTCATCCAAGGCGCTGGAGCAATGAGATGCAATAGAAGAGCCATCGGGGACACGCGCCCACCGATGAGACCAGGGAGCCCAGTGGAACCAAGATCTGGGAGAGCGTCAAAGACAGGCCTTCAAGACAGGCCATTGCAGGCTTGAAAGGTGGACATGACTTGAAAGAAACAACCCCACTAAGCACATGTTCCAGGAAGAAGAACCAGAGCTGTCCAGTTCCAACCATCCAAAACAAACTAACCAAAGCAGTGCGTCCGCAGCTGTTCCTTTCGCCCCTCAGAAACCGTTCGTGCCCCTCTGTTCACGCCAAGGAGCGAAAGACGAAGCGCCCCTCTGTTCCGCCACACTCCAGCGGGTCACACATCTCGGCGCCAATCTCACCCAGGTTCGCCGCAATGCTCCACTGCCTATGCTGAGGAAGTGAAGGTGTAAAGAGAACCATATATGACTAATAGGCTATCGGGGATTATATGGGGTGTATTGGGATTTTAGGAGAATGCCCTTGTCATCCCTTTTTGCATCTCATCAATAGGCTCTATAATATTATAATCGTTTCAAAGGAATGTTCGGGGTGATGAAAATGGGCAAAGGGTGAGTTGGTCTACAACCAATGGAGATTGACGTTGGCAAAGACCGATCGGTCCTGCTTTCGGGTTGCACATGAACATGGATGCTCTGGGCAGACCGATCGACCGAAGCCAATCCAACACGAAGACACCCAGGCCCTGAGGCAAGAATCCACCCAAGCTGTCTATTCGCATACATCTGCTCAACATCTGTTGCTAGCTGTGTAGTTGGTCAGCAATTGGGACGTTTCTTTGGAAGCATTCTTCATCCTGAACATTTGAAGCCGTGAACGACGATGCTACGAGGACGCAGGCTTGTTTCTTAAAGGCGCCAACAAAGGTACCGGCCCGGGTAATTGACAAAAGCTGTATCTGTATATATATAAATATAATATGAAACATTGGCTTGGTTTCCTCAACACAATCTGAATCAATCTTGCGGGACGGGTAACATATGTGAAACAGCATGGATCCGCCTGCTCATCGGCAGTTGTTTGATTCAACCCATCAAACAAAGTCCGCCTTGGTCCGGCGCCCTTCTCCCTTGCCCAACTTGGCCGCATCTCACGAAAAGGGACGTGATTTGCGTCAGTGCGGCCATCGCCACCGGCGCTACCAAGGGTTTGGGGCAAAAGAGGCTCTGTAGCCCGATGGCTAAGCGTTCCCGGACGAAGGCACCGCTTGACTTGGTGTCCTGCTGAGACACGGAGGGATCATGTCGAACAAAGAAGAAGACGTGTCTCGTGGTTTTGACGTAGCTCGTTTTGGGAAATTGAGGACTCTCTGGTGAAGATGCTATCCTTTTCTTCCTCAATGCACAAAAACATACGAAAACAAGAAAAGTGCTACAGTATGTCCCACTTCGAAGATGTGGCGATCTGCTAGATCTGCACCAGGCTCACTGGTCAAAGAAGCAGTGCAGTGTAGGTGGTACACTGTTCGCCTAAACTTGCATCCTGTCGTTTGGTCACAGATTGAAACCACGAAATCACTTGGCTTTTGGCCAGATGTTTGCGGCTTCCGAGGCTCCTTTCTGTAACCCCACAAAGTCAGGAGTCCTTTAAACACAAACACATCTTCCATGGCTCCATCTCACCCGTCGGCTTCCAGTGTCGGGTTTCTTGGGACATGTTCCATAGGGTCAAATCCCATCAAAGTTGGGTGCGCAGGTGCCCTGAACGATATCATATATTATATATTCTAGTCACTCTTGTGATTTGGTCAGTTTGCTATGTAGCCTGGTGGCAGTTGCACTGGTGTTTCCTGTTCTACCAAGGATCAGCGAGACCTACGAATACCACCTGTGTTAGGGCAATATGATGCAATATGAACTAATGGTTGGTTGAGTTGGTGTGGTCGTCACCACACATTGACAATTGATCTTGAACAAAAAGGATGTCACAACATGACCCAGCATGACCAAACGCATCCACAATGACAGAAGAGACGGTTCATGACAGCTCCTGAAAGGGTCAACTACGTACGACGTACACATCCCACCACTAAAATCCATATGGCAATCATAACGTGGATGAACTTCGAGGTCAATCTCACCATTTGGAGCCCACCAGACTGCCACCTGGTCGAACTTCGAGGTCGCGGGACCCGCGGTCCTTGTGTTCTGAGATGCTCTCATTGGACTTGGACTCGGTTGACGTCTCGGACTCCACATCAGGGTGTCCGGTGTTGCCAAACCGGGGTGTACCTCCCAACCTGAGCAGTGGCACAAAGATCTTGGTCCAAAGTGCATGGGAGGAAGTCTGACTCATTTGCAAGTCATGGAAAGTCATCGAACAGTTGTCTACGGTGGTATACAGCTTGCACCTACTCTTGCACCTAGAAAAGCAAATACTGTACATGAAAATACAATGTGTCATCTGACAAAGGCTTGAAACACTGTGACTCATGCTACTCATGGCAAAGTTCCATCGGCACAGGTGGAGGAAACCAAACCCCTCCTCCAAATTCTACCCTCTCCCTGAGAGGTTGCAGGGGATCTTCTCCAGACATGCCACCGTCGTTTGGGAACATCGGAGGGAAGACACAGCCCCGACCGACTTCACCAAGGAACTCTTCATCGGTTGCATGGGCTCTCAAACCGATGCCATACTTCAAGATCACAGTCCATGCGACCAATCCACAGCAGCTGATGATCGAATACAACGTGAAGAGGAGCCACCTCGAGAGGCTGAAGACCGAGTTCGAGCCAGCGAGCATCACCGAGCATCTCGAACTCAGTGCGACCCCGGTCGTCCACCCAGGTCGTAAACGACCGGTGACCATGTGGGAGATCATTGGTTCATTGATCATGGATTTGACTTATTGGGACACGTTGAGCACTAGGAAAACCCAGAAAGGCAGTTGAAACTCAAACCATATGTTCAATCAGTATCTTGGAACGTCATAGACGTTGGTTTTGTGAATCCTCATTGTACATGTGCTAAACTACAAAAAGTAGCAAACAACTTGACACAACTTGATACAAGTGCTTCGATCATACCCTATCCTTCAACAGCCCAGTGTCACCCTCCTTGACCGGCTGAAAACGGGAGAGTTCGCCAACAGAATTCGCTCGCTCGCTGTACCAACAAAATTGATTGCCCAGGTGGCGTTGGGAACCTCTGATTCACTCCATCTGAAGTCTGAGCTTCTGCCAGAAATGCCGAGATCATACCTAGTATCAAGGGGGTCGCTACTAGGAGCAAGGAGCTTGGAAGGTCTACCAGCTTATTGATCATCATGTTGCATTGTGATCGAAATTCCAAGACTTAAGCGTGCATGGCAAACATCTAGGTTTCCTCGTTCAACTCTCAAATTGGGGAGGTGGGTCTATGACTGGGTCTCTGTGATTCTGTTCGTACCCAGCTTTGTGTTTTCTTGTCCGTCTTTTTGCAGGTGAACAGGGTAGAACGGGTAGAACAAACAAGGGAACTAGACGAGGGAACATCAAGGAACCCTCATGCAGGACAGCTTTGGAAAGTTCTTTCAGGGTTGTGGTTCAATAGAAGAAAGGGAAGTGGACAAGACGGAAAGCACAAAAGACACGGATGAAAACTAAAAGCACTAGACAGTCCAGTGACAGGACGATCGGAAGAACAGGGGGGTCAGCACTTGAGCCCTAAGGAGCAGGACAAAGAGATGAACAGCAAGGAAAGAACAAGAGAATACAAGCCTGTACACATGGGGAAAAGTGCTTCCAAAAGACACGTGTAAACAAGTAGCAAGCAGATCAGAACCCAATAGGAGTATATATACACAACTTGCTCCGAAAGAGGCTGGCGCAAAAGTCGTGACTTTAAAAGAAGAGATCCAAGGATGACTTTCGAAAGGAAAGTGCGTTTAAAAGCCCAGGGTGTCTAGAAAAAAATAGAACGTGCCAGAATCAGAAACTAGTCCTGTCAAGAAAGGGATCTACTTCTAGATAATTCTTAATGTGAAACATTAATATATGCAGTCAATAAATGTGGAGAGCAATTTCAGGAGCAGCCTAAACAAGTAGGGTTTTCTAGATCAAAAACGAGTTTTACCAAACAAGTGGAACGTAGAAGTTGCTAGAAAGTAAAAACAAGCAAAGGTGCAAAACACAGAGGGATAAAGTGGTTTCACATTGCGAGAAAACTAGAGGGGGGGAAAGTGCAGTACCTGCCTCCCCCCTGTGAAAGCTCAAGCCATGAAGCTTCCAAAGGTGTCATTACAAACGGTGACTATCGCTGTGTGGCTAGCAGAACATCTTGACTTATGTGTTACTAATCATTTGGTGCAAGTGGTTGCACATTACATTCCAAACTCATCCCTGTTGAAATGTCAAGGAGAACTTGGCCGCCAGATTTTCTAGTAGAATTCTAGGTGAGGTCGATTCAAGGCAAGTCTTGCGTGCTAGAAAATGGTACGTTGTGAACAAAATCCTTAGAATTCAAGGTGGGGTGGAAACATGACACCATCCAAAATAGCCTCTAGAAAATGCTCTATCCAGGTTCAAGTTCCCAAGTATCAGCGAGCAACAAAAATCCAAATTTCATGTTCTAGGGGAACATTGACAGCTGCATAACGAACGTGGACAGACATGGACAGACATTCCAGAAGATAACATAAGTCATTTTATAGGACCCTGCTTCGGCATCCAATCGACTCACCAGCACCTATCATCATCGCACTCAAAATGACTCCCTAGAAAATGAACCTTGCAAAAATACATGATGTTCCAACTGTTCGTTTCTAGAAAATGCCAGGGAATCAACTCAGTGTACAAAGGTGGTTCTCTAGAAAAACACAATTTTCTAGGGGACCTAGGTCCCTGGATTTCCTAGTGGACATTTCAGTAGTACAGTGCTGTGACACATGCCAATGGAAACAGCACGGCCAACAGTGGCCACTGTGGGTAGCAAACACCAAAGACGGACAGCCAAAAAGCCGCAAAAGCCACCACCAACATGGTCTGCAAAATGTTCTAGAACTGCAACCAACTTTCACAAACTGTAACAGAAATACCGGCCCCCTGATGTTGTAATCTTATGCCTTACATTCTCACCGTTGGTGTCATCATCCGTGATGGTCTACGAACCACTGGTTCGTGCGCAAGATGCTGGAGAGATCAGTGCCAGAACGCACTGGCGCCACAAGCCACCCACTGTAGTTGATGGCAATCAGCCTAACCAGTCTCACAAGTGGAGGAGACCAAACGCGGAGCCAAAACGTCTGGTAGAGCCACAGAGCCGTCGATCCAAACCGTGAGCGACTTGGCTCAATCAGAGGCTTCCCAACTCACTCGGATGATTGGGTGAATACAAGAGCCAACTGCAAGGGTCTTTTATCGGAAGTCGTAGTGCTGCCTCCTTGAATTGAAGCTGATTAAGGGCTTTGCGCTTCCTCAGATACTTTTTAAGAGGGGTGTTCTCAAGTGTTCTTGTTCGGCTCTTAAAAACACTCTGTTCTTGCCCTTTGATGTCTCAATATGTGTGAGAAGACTCGACTGGTCTGAAGCTCTCCAACAAATTCTTCAACATTCACTATACTGAGGTGTCCTGAAGTTGAATCTGATTCCTCATATAGTCTCTTCTAACATCGCTTTCACATGTCGGTGCTCATGTCCATGTCTCCATGTCATGCCTCGGTCTCCACCGACCCGCTGGACGGACCCACTCCCGGTCGTGGAGCGGAAAGAGGAGCAGGATGGATCCGTGGCCAACGATGCTGCCAAAGACGCTGCAAAGGTTTACAACTGAGCCGTTGGTCCGAATCGCCCATAATGGAAGTGAATTACTCTGAATTGGAGGTCCCTAGGAGACCCATGGAAAATGGCGATTCTTCATGCTTTTTCGGTGTTCGTTCGCTTCCACCCCAATCGATCGATGCTTGAACGGTCAGGGCTTGATCGATGCTTGAAGGCGGTGGCAATCACAATCTTAGCACCTAAGGAACTTAAGTAAGGTCGGGAAAAGGACAAACTCCTCTGGTGTGACATGTCTTCCGCCTTGCCCAAGGACCTGATGGCCACTGCGAAGAAAAGGAACTCATGTCATTTCACGTCATTGTCATTTGTCACTAGACCCCAAATTGCACTCTCATCCCATGTCAATTGAATTTTACTGTTCTGTTCTTCCTCCTATGGGCCTCTGGGCCACTGGTTCAGAGCCCGGAGGACATGCTTGTTTGTGAACGGGTGAGACACCTGGCAATGGATGGAGTCATTAACAAATGTGAACCTTCTCTTTTGATACAATGCTCATTTTAGTTGACCGGCCATCATAAACCATGCATCTACTCCTCGAAATCATCCAGTGAGTCATAGTGAGTGACGACGCTGACGATCCCCACCCGCTCAATGCTGGTGACCACCCACCCACTCAATCCCCGCCTGCTGGTGCGTCCCAAATGATCGCTAAAAGTACCAGGCTAAGCAAGCTGAGAACGATCAGAATACTGCTGCCCCAGACCTCCATGCCTGAGCAAACAAGAGTCAGCTCCACGCTTTTGTGGCTAAATGCCAAGTGCCAACCTAATTAGCTATGGCCAAGAGGTTCAAGTTTCGAACTTGATGCGCAGCAGTCAGAGGGCAAGATGTTGCACCACCTGGTATTCCTGCCGCATAAGCTTTCAATGAACACCCCCTCCGGCGCGCTGAGGCCCTAGCGTTTAGAGAGTTTGCCACAGAAGATGGGATAGACGCCAAACATGCTGCAAAGGATCAGCCCAGCAATGGCCCCAACTTGATTGATCAATCCGATCATCGCGCCTGTCATGCAAAAGCACCACTCTAAGTCTTTGTGAGCCACATTGAGCCACTCATGGGTCCCAAACTACCCTCCAAAACCTCCCAAACTAGGACCACAACAAGCAAACGACCACCACGATACAGCTGACTCTGGCCTCCCTGCGCAATTTTGGGCTCATTCGCAACAAGATTGTACAAACCTCAGCTTTGGCACGAGGCTCGGACAAACCAGCGTCATCCTCGTCATCTTCTCACGTCCGAATCCGAGGGCCTCTGACCTATCGGTCTCGAAGACCAGAAAACGCGTCCAAACACGTGCAAAACCGATGGCTTCGCTGGACTGTGCCATGGCTTCACGGACTGAGCCATCAGCTGAGGCTGGGACTATTCACCACGAACCAGCCACAAGAGGTGCCCACCGAGAGGAAGGCAATGAAAGTGAAGCTGGAACCACATCCATTGGCCAATCCCATGGTTTTCAGGCGGGCCCACTGCCGTACTGGATCCTTTACAGTCCAGCCTAATGCATCTTGAGCCGTGAAGAGCTAAGAATCCGGGCGCCAGCCCGTATTATATATAATATACATATCATATCATATATTATAGGAACTTGCAAGTTTGGCCCACAAAACACTTCTTTAGGTCAGTGATGATCACTGCAAGTTTTGCTACAGTTGTAGGAGTATAACAATAGTATGACTTTCTGCTTGGATATTCCTTCATTCACGCCACGCCACCCACAGCTGCCGGCTGTGCCGTTCTCCATCCGAAAGCTAGATGGAGATGTGATCACCAGCTCATCGTTGGCCTGGCGGATCATGGTCCCCCATGGTCCGCCCCCCCCATGCAGATAGTGAGTGTGAACATGTAGTTACACTGCCAGAGGAATGAACCCAGGATTGAAAGTTCAACCTCAAATTTCATGAACGGCAAGATGGAAAGTAGGAGAAAGAGGGTTTGTGATCGTAATAGCTATACTGAATCAATCAAAAAGACTATCACCCACAAATGCACAGCAGGTCTTCTCTCTGCACGGCAGGTCTTACACCGTGCCTGTAAAGCGTTGATCGCTTGGAGGATCAGCGTCACGTTCATCCGCACGCCGCCCAGGATCTGCATCCCTGGTGAGGCGAGGCTGCGAAGCATGCTGCTCCGTTGGGACCGTCAGAATGGGTTGTCGGAACTGGTGGAACTGCTTGAATGCTACGGCAATCCCGTTAATCCGTGCATTCCAGGGTGTCCAATTCCAGAGTTCAATAAAAGCGAAGGTGTCACCTACGCCACGTGCCGAAAGACCAAATCTGTAAAACATGGTAACACATCCTGGACGCGTACAATAGTCATCTGAGTCATCACCCGATCAACATCTCACATGACCCAAACCCGACCGTCGTATACGGCAAAATCATCCAATCTCTAACGCAAAATCGCAAATCTCACAACATCCTCCACCGGGTCGTGCGATCCGTCTCTCGCCTGGGTTCAGCACTTTCCAGCCTGTTGCAAACACCGGGGTTCACGGGAAGACCGAACGGTTTCGAACCAGGGAAGACCCAGAAGGGAAAATGATATGATCATCCAAGGGGCGGTTGGCCACTTCCTGTATGTTTCAGGAAGTGGTTGTTGTCCATTTCAAACGCCCCTTGGACATATCATGGAAACACTACCCCAGGCCCAGTTCTGGAAATTCCTCCTGTCATTTGTGCAATCTATTCTGGGACAAATCCATCACTGATCACAGAAAAAACACAACGAGTACACTCTCCTCTATGGACCAAGCCATAAAGTTGACCACCTTGCACTTGCAAATCCCTGCAGTATGAGATTGCTCTTCCGATGGTGCTTCGTATGTACCCAGCGGGGTCAATTTAAAGAAAGAGCCACTTGAACTCCAAGTGCTGCATCGTGATGCTGGAGTGGGTCATCGACACTGTCATCCACTTCTTATCACTTCTTTGAAGATATTTCAAGATCTTTGGCAGGTGCCACAAGGCCGATCTAGAAGAAGCCATCGGCTTTCTGTCTCTTTCTTGACACCAACATTATGCATACAGTAGATGCAGTACCTTTAAAAAGCACATCACCCACACGGGGCGAGGCACATCACTGGTGCTTCAGTCGAGGCACTCGCCAAGCGCGGGTGCAAGGGAGGTCCAGGTATGGATCCAAGGTCATAGATGAGCTCCTCGATGACTCCCTCCTCCGCCGGGATCTCCAACTGAGGCATCTTTTCGTATCGCCGAGAGTCGCCCAGGCGACTCGGTGTGCCATATGTGCAGGTATGCCATATGCTGGTGATACTGCCGGTGATTTGGAGCTTCCACTGAGCTTGTGAGTCTGAGGTGAACTTTCAATATCCAAGAAAAGGGCTCCGATGAACCAAACATTTTCAACTTGGCCCTGACTACTGCGTAAGATATGATTTTCCTCATGGTCTCGTTGGTGGAGACAGATCTCAAATCCTTGCTCGGCTCACCTGGAAGAGTTCCAGGGAAGGATGTCTGCATGTCTGCATGTCCATCGTTTAGATCCACTGTCAAACGAGTTTCAAACCTTCAGTGGACACGGAAGTACCTCTCTTGTTGTGGAATTCAGCTAGTCCAGCCACAATCGGATGCCCCAAAAGCGGAAACCTCCGCCGTTTCGGCATAGCCTTGACACTTGATGCCACTTACTATATACATGACAATTTTGTGATCTTCGCTGGGTCTCAGAGTCGCTATTCCAAAAAGGCTCGTGCGTTCGAAACAGGGAACCAAGGCACCCTGTATGTTTCCAGCTGCCATTCAGCCGTCACCGGAGTAGCATGAGACAAGCTCTGCGGCGGCGCAGCAGCGACCCAAAGCTCGTAGAGGGCCGATCCCATCCTTGGAAATCAGGCAGTATACTTGGGACAAACATCGAACCACGTCATCTCAGTTTCCCACACCTCTCTCTCTCTGGCTCTCTGGAATCTCAGGGATTCCACAGGTCATAACAGGTCTAGATTGATCTTACACCCAGTCAGCCGCAGGATGTTGTAGGTCCAGAAGTCTTGGTCCATGAGCTTTTTGACCAAGGGTGACCATCAATCTTCAGATCAATAGCTTTAGGTTGTCTTGCTTCTGATCAACCGAGATGCCTCAATCGACAGATCTTACTTTGGTCATAAATAGGAACAAATATCAAAACTACTTCAACAACTCCTTCAACCATGGGATTGACAATTGAGGTCTGTTTTCCATCGAAGCACGAGTTTTGTTGCAAGACCAGTCGGAGGATCTCGCAGCTGACACCACTACCCACACCTGAGATCCCATGTGCTCGTTTATCTTCCAAAGCCGGTTCATGCAATTTGGAAGCGGAAGTCACGGTAGATATAGGGCTAGAGGTACCAAAAAACGTCAATCTGTTATTTTTGAAACTTTTGGTCTGTTATGGAGAGCACGGGTCACAGTATCGCGAATGGTCGGAGATGACCCGCATTGCAGTGGCTTTTGGTACCTTTTGGTCAGCAAAACATGATCTCTTACAAGGACCCCGCATGTCTGGCCCATGTGGGCTGACACGTGAAGAAACACTGCGTGAGGCGGCGGGGGCACGACTTTCACAGTTACTTCCAGCATGCTTCTGGGTCAATACCGATCCCCAATTTACAGTAGCCTATCAATGTGGACAGAACAATGTGAAAACATGTTAGTGAAAACCAATGAATTGTTACTTACCATCACAAGGCCTTTGTTATGGGTTTGCTTTTGACCCACAGCAGGTCATTGCTGGCGCCCAAGGGGGTCCCTCTTCTGAGAGGGGTCTGTGAAGAATGACTAAATCATGCACCCAACAGGCTCTTGTTTGTAATTATGATGCATAGTTGGCCATCATAACAAGGTCTGGCACCCCACACGGATTGGCTAGAAGTAACATAGATGACAGGTGATTTTATGCCACCTAAGCGAAAGCGACTTCAACATACTAGCTAGCCATGTGTTCGATGTTTGATAGCTTGCACATGTTCAAACTGGATTAAAGGTTCGCGGTGCCGAATACTGTATGGAGGAGGCAAAGGCATACAAAGCATGGCAGGCATGACCGGGGCTTGAATGCGACAAAGTGACCAAGCATCCTCTGTGCCTTCAGCGATGTGGAACTACTGTTGAACGTTTCATTTCGCAAACACCCACGCAATCCATCGGTGAACTCACCGACCCATTATATAGGCTTGTGAAAACAGTCCATGTAAGTAGATCTTCCACACATTGACGGGTCTTATTGTTGCAGGCAAAAAAAAGGGTTTGCGCTTTTGAAGGTACAGTAACTTGTTGAATCAGCTTCCTGTGGTCATTCAGTGGCAAACACCCTAGTTCTACTGGTTTGCCAGAACTGGACTCCGCAACATGATATAAACTAACGGTACTGCGGCCCTTTGCTATTCCACCAAAAAGACTGTGTTGATATCCAAAAGATCCTCATTGAGTCTGAAGGATTAATTTGCAAAGGAGCGGAGGATGGCGAATTCCCTTCAGCCAGTGTTGCGACAGCTGAGACCGGCACTCACCACACGGATCTTCAGCGCATTCTCCGCCAGCCCGCAGGAGATGTTCGTGTGCGGCCAAATGCGTTGGGCCATGCCGGCAGGACCAAAGGCACAAAAGAGGTCGGGCCGGAGCTGCCAACCTTCTCTCAGGTCAGAATCGAATCACGAGAGGAACTAGCTCAGAATGTATGTTATGTCGATGTTGTTTGAGACCCGGAAGTCTTGGAAGAAGTCCGAAGTGATCTTCAATGTTCGGGGTGGAAGGGCTCCACCTATACTGTCAAGGCTGACTCAGCAACGGGGGGGGCTTTTGGAAAAATCACCATATGATCAAAAGGACCTGCTCACCAACTGGATGGGCACCCAAGACTTCCATAGAGATGATACTGCAAGCTACCCAAAGCCTCTTATTCTGCTCGCTGGGAGTGCACTCCCACTTTTGTCATCGAAAAGAAACCCTGTCCTTGGGCGCTGAAAAAAGGCTCTAATTTGGGAGTTTGTTTGTTGGGCATGCATGTGAAGTGCCACATCAAAAAAACACAGAAACACCCAAGCCATGAGGCCCTGACAAGTTAAGTCCTCTGAAAAAGGGCCATGGGCTTTCTCCATCTCCCACCGGGCCCACAAGGCCCATCCCGGCCTTGAGGCGACATCACCCGGAGTTGTTGAAAGCCGCTGCCCACGCGAAAGCGGAGTCGCACGGGCGGCCACCGCAAGGCGCTCGCTGGTGGAGGCCCGCAGGACCTGAGAAAGTGACGCCCAGCGAAGCACCAGTCCGGCGAAAGCGGAGCCCATTTACTAACCCAACAAAAATGACCCCTAGTAGCGTCCTTGCTCCTAGTAGCGATGCCCTTTGTTCCTAGTAGCGTCCTTGCTCCTAGTAGTACGGCCAGCAGCCCCTAGTAGCGTCCTTGCTCCTAGTAGCGATGCCCTTTGTTCAATCAAATGCCAGGCAGAATGCCATGAAGTTATCGAAGGAGAATGCGGCAAAATGACGCAAAAAAACGTATGGGAGATTGGGACTTGACTCTGAGTACTAGGAGCCAGGACGCTACTAGGGGCTCCTGGCATCGCTACCAGCAACCAAAGCACAAAAATGAGCTTGACACCAAGGGATTGACCAAACAGCAATCTTCCAGATCGTACTGATTGGTCTTGATCAAAATTCCAAAACAACTGCTGTACCTGCACTGATATGCGCTGCTCCTCATGCACAATACTATGTTACTATGTGGTTTGAACATACCCCTGGATACTGGGTCAGGATCTCTGAACAGTTCTGCTGACTACTTAGGTTCCAGCAAAACATGGTAATCACAAGCATACGCAATATTCATAATTCTGCTCAAACGAGTTGTGCCTTTTATCGTCCCGGCCGGATTCACATTCTGCCAGGGCTCTGCAGCACCTGCAGAAGGCAGAAACACTGGGAGGGTGGAAATGGAACGCTTGGAATCGATGGTGGCGCCCAAAGCCAGTTGAAACTCACCGGCGCGCTCGCTTTGGAGTAGGCCGGGCCTAAGGCCGGGCCTTGGGGAGACCCCCAAAAACTGATTGAGGTCAAGACTAAAGGTCAATCGGCCTCTTCTTGAGCTGGCGAGGTGGGCTGGGAGAGAAACTCTCCGTCCTGGATCTGCCACAAGGTGAAGGACTCGAAAAGGTTGCTGGCTTCTGAACCTGGACACCGAGGTCAAGCCAGTGTCCCATTTTCCATATTTGTCCTATCCATAGCCTATCAACTGTGTTCCTTCACTTGAGCAGGTCAAGACACCAAGAGTCAAACTCCAAGTGTTCGTCACGGGCGAGCTTGGTGGATTGCGTACACGGACCTTGGAGCGAAGCGAAGATGGAACGTGCTGCCCCTGCAATTCCAACACTCAGCTCGATCCAACGTCTCCTCAAATGGCCCTGAGAACCACTCCGTCTGTGGTGACTCGGTTGTGCTCAAGAGGTGAAGAGGCCCGAAACTTCGCCCCGAGCGTTCGGCATCCGAGAGGCCCGAAAGGCATAGCTGACCTCAGCTTGCAACACCACAGGCTTCAGCTGCACGGACGCTTGTTCCTGATCCCCAATGCACTCGTCGATGCGGAGGTCGTCTGGGAAAGGATAGATGTCGCTGGGGAAAGGGATGGACTTGCCAAAGACCTCGTCCAGCACAAATCCTGCAGTTCAACGGTTTGGCTCAACCAACCGTTGAACAGCAACAAATTGATATACAACCCCCCATATAGATAGAAAAAGTAAATCGCCACTAAACATGTATTGGAAACCGTGCCACTATCTGTTTGGGGACCACTATAGAGCTCACGAAGTGTCAGGTGAAACTACCTCACACAATCATGAGTGGTCTTCAGTATTGGACATCTTTTTGGGAGGTACTCATCCATATCAGACGTAGTTAGTACAGACATATTCTCCGATGATCACCCGACCTTCCCTGCAATCTTCCGCAAACACAAAGAAGTCGGGCGCTGTCAGCAGGAGCGTTGCAGAACTCTGAGTCATCGCAGTCGAGAGAGCAAAAAAGAAGACCAAATTGTTGACCTCACTTGCATGCAGATAGTGAGCAGATGGCAGCAAATCCTATTCAAGCATTCAGTCCTATCTTAGGCCAATCAGGCTTTATGTGTCAGGTCCGAAATGCATGAAAATGACTATCTTAAAACTATTCAAAGAAGCTTGCTGACCTTGGAGCCGATTAGCAGTGCCTGTCAAACTATATGAAGCTGTAATATATATATATATAATATAATCAGTCAAATTGAAATTATATCTTTGAAGCGAAGCATGCGCATTCATTCGTTTTGAGATCCGGGACCAACCCTAGTTATCAGCAGCAAAAATATGATCTCTGGGATTCTCTGGGGAATTGCAATGGCTCACCCAGCTACCAATTCTGCCAATCGGAAGAGACTGCCAGTCTCAAAGCTAAAACACCTGGGAGATTAAGCGAGATATCGTGGGATGATGTACAAAATCATGTGCCACTGAAACATGCAAAAACGATGGAACTTCAAAAGCATCTTCCGAAGAAAGAGAAATCACAATGATCGAAACGGAGTCTCAAGATACTGGTTGCGACTCCAGTGGCTGAGCCAGGCTGATCATTGCGATTCGTGAGGACTCTCCTGCCAGGACTGTGTTTCGGAATGTGCGCCACGAAAACCACAAGGGGCATCGCTTAAAGAGTTTCGGGGTATATGTTCAAAGACATGATATCTACCCTCTTGAGCTGCCTGTATTGAGACGCTCCCACAATCTACCACACACACACACACCTATAATAATAAACTTGACAAGAAAGCGCGACACTGCTTGCTTCATGTTGAATGCTTTTGCAGTCTTGGCATGTCTTGATTCTCTTACGCTGTAACCTGTCACTGTATCGTTGTTAATTTTAATGCAACGACCAGTGCAATGAAGGGGTCTGTGCTTTTGCGGAGCAGAAAGTGCCCGTTCTTTGCAAGCAAGAGGCTGAAGAGCATTAGCATTCATCAATCCAGCTGATGCCATTGGCCTCACTGGCCCAACAGTCCCACCCATTCAATAACACGACTGCGAACTCTTTAGGCTGAGCTTCCCCCACAAAGAGAGAGCTTCCCAAAACCGAGAGGTTTGAATGTTCAAACAACCACTGCGACATCAGAATCTCAACATGAATGAAACGTGAATAGATGTGAATAGGGATCCAAAGCAGAAATAACCAGCTCGACAAAAACATTGCTTTATTTGGGCTTCGCAGTGTAGCTGGATGCTGGCAACACTTGATCAACCCCAGCAAACATTCAAATCACACCAACAAAATTGCTCTATAGAGATAGTAGGAAAATGCAAAAAAGGAATGCATACGCAGCAAAAAGTAGCAGTCCAGCTTGGATGCCAAATACTCTGAAAAAATTCCACACACACACACACACACCCCACCAATCTGAAGCATTCTGAAGCCACTTTTTAATATGATGACAATAAGCCCATTCAAGAAATGGGAACAGCCGCTTCGCCCAAGTTCACCCCGTCTGCCGTCCGCTGAATCGATCGGAAAACAAGCGGCTGCAGCAAGTCGGGCGACGGCACCGCGAGGCCACGGTCCAACTGAACGGGGACCGTGGCGGAGACGTCCTGAAAGAGTGTACGGCTGGAGGGGAGGGGGTATCAATTCCGGCAGGGGGGACTAGGGCAACTATAAGTTCCGGAAGGGGCCCTCTCAAAACAGGTCGTCGACCAGTGCTTCCGGAATGCAATTGACCGGTGGTCGTGTTCTCGTCACCGACCAGGGAAACATGAGCGGCCGACCATTGGTTCTGACAGAGTCCGTCAAAAACTCGCCCTGCTTGGCCGAAAGGACTCAGGGACTCGGTACACGTGAAGGTTTCTTTAACGTACAAGGAGCATCGACGAGGGCCGGCGATGGTTTGGGAGTAGATAAGCTACATAATAGTAGATGTAACATGTAATTAGTTTCTCGATACGGGCGGCCAGAACACATTGAGCGCTGCATCCATTAGCTGCCGTTCGTGCTGTTCCTAATGCAGCAATCAGACTGCTATGGAAACAAGATGAAACAAGGGGGACATGTGTCATGTAGACGTGATGTGGCCAGGAGCCCCGAACGTAGCGTCTTTGCTCCGAACGTAGCGATGCCAGGAGCCCCGAACGTCGCATCCTTTGGCCTATGACTTCGTTTGAAAGGCAGCGACTGGTGAGATCCGGTGCGACGGTGTCGTCCGCGAGGGTCGGCCGGTTCAGGGTTGACCTGGAGTCGGTCTGGCATTCTTTTCTTCGTGTGTCTTGCTTAAGCTGGAAGAAACCATTGAGCGTTGTTTTCAAAACTCAAGAACCTATATAACCAAACGTAGCTTAGGCGTGCTTATAGGCTTAATCCATTTTAATCCCAAGATATCCCAAGATCCAAACTGTTTGAACTACCCACGAGCTCCTCGACCCCACCGCTCCTCCACTGTGGAAAAGGACCAGCACTGCGCTGCACCACCTTTTTGGAGCCGTGGATCACCCGGGACCCGTCGCTCCCAACGACCGGAGGCCCTTCTGTACTCGGCTGAACTGGTGACAACAAGCAACACATGCCGGACCATCTCCAGAGACATAAAAAAAAATCGAGGCACGACCGAAAAACGAAGGCCGAACAAACGATGCCGGATGCGTTTTGGGAAGAACATGCATCAGAAAAAACATAAAGCAACCCTTTGCACCGAGATCGTTCTGAGGCCCCCTGCAGTCTGTGTCCGACTCCTTGGAGACACCGTGTCGAACAGCATGGAGTGGGGATGTCATCGTGGTCGGAAAGGGAGTCATGAGTTGATGCCACGGCTCTGGCTGTGTTGAGCGAATTTGTTCGACAATTATGGCTATTTGTGCGCTCAGTTTGTCAAGAACATCGAGCGAATGAATGTCCGAGAAGTCATGGAATTGAACAAACAAAAATCTGAAACAACTGAAGAGTTCGGGACAAAACAAACAGCAACATCTGTGCAACAATGCCATCTTCATGACAAGCAAGGAACGGTATAATTATATGGTCCTCTGCATCGGAATGAAAGGACTTGCGACGCATGTGATGATGTGAGATGTATTCCAAAGGGTCACTGGGATGCTTCATCGAGATTCCGCGGCTTGTGTGGCATCCAAGGAGACCTCAAGTGCAACGTCACAATGCACAACCCGACCCCAGTGGTCTCCAAGAGGTAATTGCCGATCCTTGTTGCTTCTTTTAGTTGTGGTGTATTGAATGAGCCGTTGTGTTTCCATCATGATCGAATAACTGGTGGGGTAAGCTAAACGTCATTGCCAGGACAGGAAGCTCCTGTTCTCTCACGCAGTCAGGAAGACTCCAGGTTTCGATGTAAATTCCTGTCGGATCACGAAAAGCAAGAGGACCACCGTTCGTTGAAGTTGAAGGATGAATGCACAGGCACAGTACCATGTAAACACCAAAATGCTACGGGATCATTTAGAGAGGGCTATTCTCAATCACTTTCGAGGCACCTAAAGTGCCCTGAATGTTTCATCTGGGTCTCCCCCTCTAAGTAAGCGGAGAATTCTTGACATGTTTCTGCAAATTCCCAGCATGGGTTGGAAAATGTTCGCTCTCAATCAAATCTACCATGATCTAATCTACCCACCAAAAAAATTTGACTGTTCACCATCCCACAAGTTTCCGATGCAAAAATGCATCCATCCCGCGAAGGCAATGGTCTATTGAATCCTGAGAGAATTGGTTAGGATCAAAAGAACATCCATAGTGTCAGGTGCGTATTGCCTAACATGGCGACCTATTGCCAAACACAATGCGCGTGAGCCTACTCACCACTTCCAGCATCTGATGCAAGCACCATCATCTACCCTGCACCTGAGTAGCCCCAAATCCCAACTAAAATCTAGTCAGGCATCAGTATTGAGAAAGAACCAAACACTATAAATTAAATAGAACTTGCTAAACTGAATACGCTTACGTCCGTGGGCTAGCTTATTGTTCACCAACCCCTAAATCATCTAAATGTTGATGATGGACTAGAGGTCCGGTTGCCTCATAATATCACCTGTGGTTCACCCAGTGCAACCGGGTCCACGCTTGATAGAGCACTGTGGTGTTTCACACCCGTCGGAGAGTATGGTATGCGCGGTACTTTTAACGTTTCCTCAGGAGAAGTTGCGTGTGTCTTTTTGTGCACTTTCATGTAAATAGGGTGGGGCGGGCTGGGGCGGTGTTCACACTCCTTTGGCCCTACGCTCGGCATCAAAAATCAAAAGTGACAACAACTAGCAACCCGTTAGCAACCGGCGTAGCAACTGCAAGTCACCAAGGAAACCTCAAAGGTATCTCATATACCATGTGATGTGTCCACGTCCAACGCCGTCCTTTTCGCACGGGGGCCCGGTACCAACGCACCGGTGGACTGATCGGGCATTGCCCGAACTCGCCTCCAGTCCACTGGTGGATGGACTATCCCCACGCGTGCTTTTTCTATACCAGGTGACTGGGTTCTGCACTGGTAACTCGAAGCTGTAGAGCCCTGCCAGCAGTGCGTCCGTTGGGCGCAATTGGAGCCGCGGCAGGCCCTCGCGACGGAAGAAGCTGCAGCGAACACTCGCACCTGAAAAAGCTGAACGAGGGTCTGGTGTGGCCGGTGCTTTCGTGAGCACAGCAGCGATTTCACAGCGCGTTCAGAGAGCCAACATTGAGAGATAGAGAGACTAAACACCTGATCTGATCTGGTATAGCATGCCTAATAGTCATCAATCTTTTTGACCCGGCACCTTTAGTCGCCAATCTTAAAGCAGTAGCACCTTGAGGTTGACCAGCCAAGCACTTGACAATGATCTTGAGCGTCTTGAGAGTGGTTTGAAGATGTTTGGGGAATGGATGGAAAATGGGGGGAAAGATGATGGGAACATGCTGGCTGACAGGGTGGATTGCCTGGATGCTTCCGATGCTTTCGGCTGGACGAGCCGGACCAGTGACCAGCGGATGTCGAGCCCTGGAAAAGAAGCTAGCAGCTAGCGCCATGACCTGAAACTTCAAAACACCTTATAACATGTCTCCGCAAATGCGGGGACAGGGATGAATATTGTTTTGGATATGTTGCGAATCACATGTGACAGGGGCACCAAGTTCATCCATGGAACCCATCGTTTGCAAGAGGCTCTCATCAGGACGGTCCGGGAGAACATCCTGCACCTCACATTGCTCCGAGAAGTAGAAGCCCTGCAGCCGGAAGGCGACGATGAACACAAACCCCAAAAAGGCAAGTCATGTCAAAGAAATTCAATGAAGGGTGTGTGTTCCGTGTATCGAACAAAATCCAAAGTTCATCCTTCTGATTTTGTTATTGTTTACTCACATGATTGGGAGTTGAAGATAATATAATATTGTCCTTTACAGTAGAGTAGTTTCTGTGAATAGTTCAGTGGATGGGCCAAACACTTGCGTTCACCCTGGGTGATGATGCAAATTCAATTTATACGGGTGGGTCCACTGAAACAAAATCTCAAACTCCATGAATAAAACAAAAAAAACATAAACTACGTGCACCTCAGTAAATAGAGCCATCGTTTCACCTCTTCATGTAAAAAAACATCACTTCGCAAACACTTATCCTTTCAAATCCATTCACTCTCTTTCTCTCACTCTGCGCATCACGGAAGCCAGTCACTCAGTCACTCGGTACCCGGCCTCCGGGCCCTGGATGAGGAGCGCCCCACGGGGCGGCACCGCGGTGACGAGGCGCACTGTGAAGCGCACGGCCGAGGTGGCCCCCACGCGAGCGGTGCGGAACGAGACCTGGAAAGAGCGCGTACTTTTGGGATGCAGAGCTGGTACTTTTGGGGGTGGGATGATATATGTCTAAATCATTTAGATATGGGACCTTGTGGGTTTTAAGAGGTATTTGAAACCTGAAAGGGTTATATAGATGATCTCTGTCAATCGTTACAAAACTTTAGAATACTTTAGATGCGGCAGGATGTGTCAGGTTTACGCACCATGCTGGGGGGGGCACCCAGTAGCGAGCTCAGGATCAAGGACGGGGTCATCTTGATCATTTTGTGGTGTCATGTCGTGTCTGCAGCAACATCCGGACAAACGCACACGGGGTCGCAGTTGTTCGACGCCAGGACCACCAGGGCGGCTGGCGATTTGAGATGGTTTTCAGGTGGTCAAAAGACCCTCGCTCTAGGTCATCAGCTTTCAACAGGCACGCCCAATGAAATTCATGGAACTGCATCACTCACGTCTGAGTCAAAAATGAATCGATGATTTGCAGCACCAGCCCACATGTGGATCGTGCCTAACAAAAACGATGGGTAACATCGGCACGCCTCTCATTCTTCCAGGCTTGTCATCCTACAAGTATACTCAAATAGCTTCATGACCGTCTGACAAAATCACACGTTCCATTCGACTCTTGCACTCGCTTGCACTGAACAGCGCTCACTCCTTCTTGGATTCGCTCCAGGCATGGGGTTGAGGGATCTGGAAACACAGCTCCATGTGATGCAGCACCAGAATCGAGCGACCATGTCACGAATGAAGAATGAGCAGGAACAACATTCAACAGAGAGCGACTGCAGAAAAACCAATCTCGACGTCCAAGGGCGACTCTGTGATCACTCCCACGGACCAGGTGACCGTGACAATATCTCCCTGGCGAACCCACAGGGAGGGTGATTGGATGGGAAAAATTCAAGGTCCTGGGTGATCACCTTCCACCTTTTCGGCCAAATGGCCGGACAATTCGTAGGTGATCACCATTCCAAAGTAAATTTATTCGAGCAATCACCTTTATCCCAGACCTACCCAACCAACGATAATTTAATGATGGCACAAAGCTCGTGCTCGCAGGGGGCACACTCAAATTCAACATAGCAGGAAAACACAACAGGAACCAAAAAAAAAAAACATATGGTGCAACACCATAACTATTGTGAACATCGCTCAAACACATATATGTGACAGGACGACAAGGAAACTTCCCAAAAAATCACCCTCCCGTTCCCCATCACCGTCCCCCGCACCCTCGATCCGTGGCGCCGCACCTTGGCATCCAAGAGCGCGCGTAAGAGTGGTGCCGCTTGGACGGCGGCCGCCGGGCGCGGCAGGTCGAGGAGCCGGTGCAGCTCGGCGTCACCACGGGGCGTCGGCGTACCTGACGGGTCGGGAAGAACCATGACGGTCGATGTCAGGTACCAATGCCTACAAAGTACGTACACGCACGGGGGGTATCCCCTCTATTCATATTACTAATCAACCATGTAAAAGGCTTGTACCTCAGGGTGGAGACACCTGGACGCTGCAATGGGCAGTTTGACGTGGAAAGGGGATGAAGGTTAAGCCGAAAGGAACATTGCCATAATATGCCATAATAAGGTGTTTGAGAAGATGATGCTTCGAATGACGTTCTCTGGCAGGTTTGTACTAGTGTTACCAGGTTCTATTTCTTGGAGGACAGGCACAGAAACATTCGGGGCAAGTGAAGGGTCAAATGCCCCGACCATGAACAGCAGGAGGTTCTCCTGGCTTGGACTACGACAAGTTGCAGATGTTGAACGTGCAAATCCCGCAGCTGGCGGCATTATTTGCAAAGACGATTTCGATCTCTGCCTCCAGTCAAAGCCAAAGCGCGAGCCGCTTTAGCATTTCAGCAGGGTGACGGACGGGGGGCGGTTCTCCCAACTTTTCCCACGGATGAGCCTTTAAACTGAAGACACAGTCTGAGGTAGACTGTTGATGAATAAAACCATGATAAAAGCCCCCAAGCCTGGAGATGTAGAACCCAAGCCTGGTCTGGTAAGATAGAGAGCTTCCAAGGCAATCAACTAAATCAACTAGTCGACTTGGAGTCAGTCGGTGAGCCGCCCCCGTTCCATCGGACCCGTGTTTCCACCGAGTCGCACAGCGGTATGTCAGCGAACAAGCTTCGCGACAGGTGTCTCGCAAGTGTTGAAGAGCGGTAGCGTCTTCCAAAGATTGAGCGAAGGTCGAAGGGCAAGAGGACTCACAGCCGGTGGTGCGCAGAATCTCCCACTGAACCTGACAGTCTTTCCACATACTGCAATTACTCAATAGTTACCAAGAGCATCCAAACTGGCTGATTTATCTAGCTCAGGCATCAGCCCCAATCAAGAACTAGGACAGGATACTTGCCATGTCCATCCCGGCTGCTCTGGTTTGCAATGCAAACAAACAACGTCTTCATGCAAGCACGGAGTGCACTCATGCGACAACATACACCAAATATGATCACTCTTATCTTAGGCCATGCAAACCCATGATATGCATTCTGCAATCCTTCTATCCTCTCTTCCCTTTGGCACATTGTTTAGAATAGTCTTGATATCGTCTCACCTAACATCAGGGCATAAACCCAGTAAAACCAACTCAAACCCACCGTCCTCCGACACTTCGACCCACTAGAAACCTCCTCTGTCCCTGAAAAATCGTCTGAAGCCCTTTCCACCCCACCGGCCGGCCTCGTCCACCTCATCATATCCAAATTCCAGGACCATCGAGTTGCTGGACTCATCCGGGTTTCTCCTCAAGGTCACCGGAGCCAAGAAGCCATACCTCCACAGAGCAAGCAGCCCCCGCGCTTGCTTAATGTTTGTTTGGTTTGTTGCTGCATCATGATATTCAGCACGGTGAGAAAGTGAGGACGTCTTTTCACGGTGGATGAGTGATTCGATTCTTTCGTTGTGCACCACATGTCACATACAATGTACATGCCAAAGTATGGGACCTCTGTATGACAACAAAACACACACATGACATATAAAACACGTTCAAACATCCTACAGAAACGGTTTCCTTTGGGCGACTCGTTTTGAGGTCTCATGCTGATTGTCCACCAGCACTGGTCCCTCAGTGTCCTTGACCTATTCGCGAACCATCGCGTGTTGGACGCGCAAAAAAAAGTCATGGAAATTCAGTTGTGCAGTTGGAGCAGTTCGAAGCAAAAGCAACTGGCTCATCCAACACACGTGAGTATTTGTTTACTTTTCCAATATTTTTCCACACTGAAGAACAATGCCATCTAAGGGTTGGTAGCTTAGCGATGCTTGACGAACTTACTTGGCCTACTTGGTGGCTTGTGATCACAGCTATCAGATGCTGAAACGCTCCACCTATCACTTTTTGAGCGACAAGGTGCACATCCAGTGGCTGGTAGAGGGTGCTGGGCCATGTCAAAACATTGGATGATTGTTCTGGAAGACCTTGGCTTCATCAATGGTCAGTTCTGCACGAACGGGTGAGCACCCTAATTATCCCCCATGTTCTGCGTACATTCTGTGAACTTAGATTAACACCTATGAGGGCGGTGAACCAACCCGCTTGCACTAAGGAACCACCCCAAATTCATAGCGGGTGTGGTGGCAGATCCGAATCTTTATTCCCTTTGAATTGATAAGAGGCCTCTTTCCATTCACCACGACCAGTGGTTTCAAGTTGCAGTCTAAGCGACCAGCCGGCCAGTTGGCAGTAGCACCATCCACAAGGCTCGCATCTTCTATGAAGCTGGTCGCAGGGAAGTCAAAGCTAAAACCCACCGGCAGTGTGAGCCTCAAAACACCTGAGCATCGCATAACGTGTAGACGTGTGGACTCAGTGGTGTGGATTGCAGCCTCCGGGAGACTAGGGAGGTTAGGGAGGTTCAACGCGTTAAAGCAGGTCTGAGACAACAGGCGCCCATGCGGGAGGATCACGAGGGACTTGCGCAAAGCCCAAGGCTAAGCTAAACCCGTTCCTGGAACATGGTTTTCTTATATACATTATACATCATTAAAATATACTATAATACAATACCAATGTGCAATTCCTCCGCCTCAATGTCTGACGACGATCGATTTGGAGATGTTTCGTAAATGGAGCCATTCTAAAATACAAGATAAAGTTGCTCCTTGGTCCAGGAATGCAAGAAAGACCCTGAGAAGTGAACTAATCCTAGATACACCCTAGAAGTCAAACCACCACTTATTCAATAGCCTTTACCGAACAACCAGTGTTTTGCTAAGGTTTTACGCTACAAACCCGATCAACCATTTAAAACGATTGTCTTTGACTTCCAGGGTACATATATATTATATATAAATTATATAAACTATTTTTTTGCAACTATCTAGCAAATTCAACTTGCTGCAGAAGTGATGATGCATTGCATGCAACAACATACGGACAAAGTTAGATCCCTTGCTCGGAAAACTAAGCTGAGGCACAAGTCAATGGGATTCCCCCCGAGCTGGACGAGAAGATGCAGAGTGGATTCCTGCCGGATCGATATTGGTTGGCATCTGGTTGGCTACAGGACAAGACCACCTAAACTTTCCAATGTTAATCAATCGTCAATCAGTGATATGCAGCAACCTACTGCGAATCCGGCATCTACAGTGTGCACACCTCAGTTGCCGGGGTCGAAGATAGCACATACTCAGGATGTGAGGTGCGTTCGCACACAGAAAACCAGCACGAAATAGCACGGGATTTGCCCCGGGACCTCACTGATTCCAACTGGAATCCGATCAATCTACCCACCCAACATGATCTAACCTCCCAACCTTGCGGTTCTGTTCTGATGTTTGAACGTTTTGAGGCCAAAACCCACCATCCTACCAACGAAAGTCCGCTCTTGGAGTCGGTAGTGGTCAGTCCTGGCCCGACAGTGCAAAGGGCTTCAAGCTCGAAAAGGAGATCTGCAGAAAGGCCAAGGACCTGATTGGTCTTTAGAAGCGATGAGAAAGAAACACTGGTGGTTGAAGCCTGACGTTCCGAATTTCCATCAACCTGGTTGTCGACCCAAAAAAAAAGAACCTGGACCGTTGGACGGTGCCACGGTGCTTGATGGTTGGGACTCCTGGGATCCCCGTTGGCTCCAACCGGTTTGGACTGTCCGTCGTGTATGGATCATCTGACCAGGTTTGGAGTGAACAAATGATGCTCAAATTCTCTTTGGGAGGGTTGGGTTAAAAGGCACCTTCAAACCTTTGGCTTTGTTTCACTTTCACCGCTTGAGTGAAGAATCCACAGCTCCAAACCTAGTACAAAAAAATCCGTGTCCACTAGACTAAGCAGGATTCTTTGCATATATGTAAAAGTAACATACAGATTTTGAGACACGTCGAATCAACGAAATGGCTCAGCAGCATTGAGTTTAACCGAACACTGATCAATTCGCGCAGTATTGACCAAGCCACCTGTGGTAGAGTTTGTAGGGCTCCATTCTCCCAATCCGTAAGTCAGAGACTCCATCCACGAGGCTTCCAGCCTGATTCCGCGTAAAGAGCTGCCAAGGCTCGGCCGAGAGCAGAGACCCCATCGGAGGGGCTCGAACAGAGATCCTCGGCTTCTCGTGGCTTCGGCAAGAAATAGAAACCACGCGGGCGGCTACATGGCGAGCGGCCTCACGTGGGCGCACGTGGGTGCATGTCTTTTTGTCGAGAGTCTACAAATGACTCTAATTATAGTATAGATAAATATCATATAGTAGATATAATATATGATGTAAACGTTTGTCTGCCTGAAGTATAGGGGTTCTTGCTTTTGCTAGCCCGCCATCTGTTGATGATATTTCGCGCAGTATTTCGCACTATTTCGGACATCGTCCTGTTCATACAATACTAATTGTATCTAATTGTCCAATAGTTTGGCTCCTGCAACTGGGTTGATATGACCGCACACGTTTTGTAAAAATACCCCGAAAAGAACATCTAAAAGCAAAATAAAACCAAAGTCGTTTTGAACTCTGCAGGTGATCTGAAAGCCATAGATCCGCTGTGCAAAGATACGTTTCCTCAACTCGATGAAGGCCACCCAGGGCGTCTTGGAGGTTTCGCAGGTCTGTGGTAGACGGAGCGTGTCTGCAGAGTAGTAGTGGCTGGGCAAGTCCTCCAGGGCAACCGGGAGGCAACTACAATCAAATGATTCTTGAGATGGTTCGTAGTGATACAATAGACTAAAGAATCATGGTTGAAGGATTTTTGATTGTCGAACAGAAACCTGATTGTTCGATGGAGTATGGAAAGGATTTTCTGAAGGACTTCCTCAACGACCAGCCGAATGAAGTCACGAACGACCCGCCAGCATGCGCCCCGCGAAACGGACCCAGTCGACCGCTCCGGTCAGCCTGTGATTGACATGGATCCCCGAAGTCGAAACCAGGTGCCTGGAGCTGTAGCGAGCCTGGCCGGTGCTCCGGTGCTCCGGTGCTGCTTCACCAAAATATGTTACGGCTGAGTGGTCGGAGTCTGCGAAGTTCCTTCACAACGGGGGGGACTCTTGATGCACGAGTCGTGATCTTGCACTCTTGTAGCCACCTAGCTATAGTCTGCAAGGGAGGCGTCCATTCTTGGACGTGGTGCAAAAATCCCATTCGCTCAGTGTGGCAATACTATCTCTCTAATTTCTGATCAAGACCTCATTTGGATTCATTTGGGATGTTTGGCTTGGTATTCGCAGAATGCCAGGAGGCGTCCTGTATGAACCGGGTTCGAGGTTCGGATGGCCTCCAGCACGAACGGGCTGCGCAGCCCGAAAGAAGACTTGAATCTCGGAGAAGTTGCTCTCGAAGGGCCTTTGGCGAGGCAGGTCAAGAGCGAGGTCTGTTTGTAGGGCAAACTTCCATCGAATTACGTCTTTTGGCTTACGTATGCTTACGTAAGATGGGTACAGTAATCCGTTCAAACCAACTATAGTTAGTGCGGCTTCACAAATTCCACTGTTTATGAGCGACTAGTATGACAGCTTCGAGCGATTTCCCTTGCCTGAATGAGAGTGTCGGTTGGTAGGATAAAGGCTGCATGCTGGCGTCCGTAAGCCTTCCCAACACTGCTTTGGAGGCGCTGTAGTTCCCCAAGGACTGTGCTGTGGCAAAGGCAGATAAGTTCGCTTCACGAAATGAAGTACCAGAGCCCATGGAGCGGAGAGAAAGAAACCAGGTGTTTGCAACTGCATCCTCTCAGGGTTTGACTGTATCTACCAGCCTTTTGACAACATGTTCATGCCAATGGCTTGACCACCGCAAGTGCAGTTGCATGTAGTTATGCTGATTTAAAATGCTTTATAACACTGCTGCACTGCTTGTTTGGGGTGGGGGGTGGGGCCGGGTCTAATAGCTGTGTTCGCTGCGTATTTTTTGAACATGTGTTTTCTACTTGCAGCGCTAAGTCGGCTCAAGTCAGTATCATCCGTCACTTCTGTGACCATGCATGTGCTTCCCTTGTTCGTACTTTTGCAGTTGTCACGTCGTTTTGCTTCTTTAATTAAAATTATTTTACTCACTGTCTATCTTGACTTTTTGACAGATTCGTCGACTCGGGCAATAGATCCTCTTGCGCCCTTCACATTTGCTTGGATCCTGATCATTATGTGTTAGACGTTGATTGTTTGGAGCATGCTACGGAAGGCTTGGGTTGTTGCTGGGAGTCGGTTAGGACACAATTCGTTGATCGTCGCCACATACATGACTTATCATGACTTCATAGTTGCTTCCTTGTTTGTGACTGTTCAGTCAGTTGTCTTCTTCGTTCTGGTGACCTCGCCGTGATAGAAAGCTCAGCCAGTTGGCAGCACAAACTTGTGTTTTTTAAGAACTGAATGAGAGAAGAGTTTGGGGCAAACATAGACTAGCTTTTTCGGAGGTCTCCCAACGAAGCACGTGGCCACGTTGCATTGTAAAGCACTGTGCTTTCTGAATATGAATCCCCTTGGCATTGCCACTTTCATTCAAAGCACGTTCCATTCACAAAAAAACAACAAGCACACTTAAAATCGTAAGGAATTTACTACTTTTCTCAGTGTTCAATCCGAATGTTTATAGCTAAATGAAAACAGAAAGATTGTCCAGGCAAGCAAGCTGAAGGGACCCCTGGCCCATCGGATGGATGTTTATTTATCTCAAAAACCTACCTTGAGTTGGAAGGTTTTGCTAGACAAAACCAAATGAAAGACTAGTAAACAAACCAATCATGTTTGTTTGAAACTTCAAGTTCTTCAAAAAGAAACGGAACATCCCAATTCCTGGCGCCTCCAGGAGCGGCTCCATGGGATTGTCCACTTCCAGTCGCACCATGAAGGTCGACATCGCGAAGATCGCTTGGCCTTCGCGGAGCGCGTAGAAGCAGCTGCTGCCAGTGGCGCTCCAGCCATCCTGCAAACTGCCATGTCCTGGAGGCAGGCACTTCACGTTCAGTCCAAACAGTCGTTTTTGGACTCTCTATATATAGACACATCGTTCATCTCATCAATTGTGCTCGTTGCTCCTCTCCCGAAAGCCATCCAAAACTATCAAAAGTAGGGATTCCGACTCGATCAAGGTCTGCACACAGTTCATGTCTGTCGGCCCTCGGAAGGCCTCCTGCCACTGGTTGTGCTGCTGACACTTGTTACTGTCCTTTTTACACGAAAAACGTCAAAATCCTTGAATGGGCGTCACAATCCCCGAAGCACTTGTTGTGAGCATTCCAAAAGGCTAACAATACTCTGTCTATAATTCCAGTTGTCACATACCAAGGTTCTTGACTGATAATTGGCTTTGACGCACAGCCATTGACTTACAAGTCTCAAGTTTGCAAGAACTCCCCCCAACTACACAAGAATCAGCATACCAACTGCACCTCCAATCAGAGCTGATATGAGCTATTCACTTCCTAGTACTTTTGCCTTCATGATCCTTCATGTCTGCCAGCATAGGCCGACCATTCAAGACCCAAACCGACGAACCGCGCGGACCGTCTCACCGACAGAGACCATGACCGTCCCGACCGTCCGACCGTCCTCTGAGCGAGGCGGGTAGAGTCTCCTCAGCGGGTAGGGCAAAAACCGTGTGGATCGGTCGGGGGTGAAGACAGAGCTGGACTCAAACATATTCAGTTTAGACTGGAGCTGGAGGTATTTCTGGTAACAATGCTGAACACAATGCTGAACGACGGATGCAACTACATATTCTGTCTTTTGTCTCTAGAATTGACCCGTGAGTTGTCAAAAAAAGGACCGGACCAGACAATATATATATATATATTCCTCTATATATATATATTATATGTGTGGTCATGATCTTGGAGCAGATCAGTACTGGGTACAGGATGCTGAGCTGCCAGGTTTCATCACTTCTCAGGTTGCTGGCGCTGCAGCGGTAGCCGCTGGGCGCCTGGATCTCCAAACCAGCGGCCTCGGTCGGCTGCGTCTACCATGGCGATCGTAAAGGGTTTGTTGGGCGCTTTCCGCACAGAGGGACAGAGAGAGATACACGACATATGATATAATATACATTGGGTCTATCCTATTACCTGTAACAGTGGATGATGATGGTTAGTCAGAGGCCTTGTCCAAAAATAGTGATAATTGTTTACTGACTAATAGGACAGACACCGGAACCGCTTTTGCTTCACCAGTTGTGTGGCACAAATCACTTGATGGCACCGCCACAGGATTCCGCCTGAGGACGGAAGAGATGGAATACCACCAGACGGCATGTTGGGGGCCGGTCACAAACCACTCCCGACGCCCAAAGACAACACCGACGTGTGGCACGGGCCGTCGGCCGGTGCGGAATCAGACCGACTTTTGTCGAAGACACGTCGACCGGTCCAACGGTCCGTTCTTTCGAAGATCACCGGGTATCGGGTCCACAGATCACCCGATCATCCGCGAAGAGTGGCAAATTCCTGGCGCGCCGAGAACAAGGTCGCCCCCAAGAGCAGCTTGGCGTAAAGGACGTTGCCTGAGCGACAACTCTGGTTGCAATCTCGCAGTGTAAACAACCAAAAAGAGGACTGGTAGAGTCGGATGTTGCCCTCTAGTGTAGGTTATCAGGAGATTCAGGAGACTATTTCCAAAAACGGGAATGATAATGATATTATTCAACTGGATTTTTCACAGTCATCGATTCCGCTCATCCACCCCAAGTGAATCCCAAGAGGGCCTTCATGTTGAAGCTCTCTTGTTGGTCGGAAGACCACAGGCCACGCCCTATGTTTCACAACACCAAAACACGATCCTTTCCGACACTGCTGTCTCATCCTGCTCAACACAGAGAGCTCTCACAGTGAAAGGCCAGTAACCTGGCTGGAGGTTACAGCTGGAGTGAATCTTTTGAGGTCATGCTTTTCTGCCAGGAAACCCACCTCTCCTTGAAAGGGCCGCTGATTTCCGGCATCGTTCAGGAGCCCTGCCGTAGCCGCCACTGCCCTGGCAAAGCAAATCCGATCTGTTGTTTTCGTCGAGGCTGGCCAAATCCAAGGGCTCTGAGGAGTGGTATGGGCTGTTGCAACAGGCAGGCTGAAGAAACCCCGGGAAACCCGTGGATCTGAACGATCAGAACAATCCTGAAGAATGATAGCAGAAATGGACCTCTTTCCCCACAGTAGAGCCTTTAAGAGTAGTTTCCTACCGGTTTTGGAGACAGTTTTGGTGGCTTCCATGGGAGGAGTGGAGAAAGCTTCCCAAATCTCCAGGCCTATAGATGAGGCTGCCAGAGCTAACACCTCGAATCAGTGAGTCTGGAAGCGGGGACATCACCTTTTGTATTTTGCCAGTGCTTTGTCCAATCACACACACACACACACACATGAAGTTTCTCCACCAGTGGCATCCATCAGTATCACAAGACATGCATACAACAAAAAAATATATACTGTATATATATATATATATATCGCCGTTGCCGATAGGGACGATTCTTTCCAGGCAGCGACATTCATTCCAACATGCTGTATCATACTGTAACATTACTTCACACAGAAGTGCACTAAACCATTCGCTCACGGCAAGCCATCAACCATCGTCTTACTCGAGTGCCCACTAGACTAGACGCCTCCGACCGTTCCACCCGACAGGTGCCCAAATCCATCTGCCGTCCGCCTCCTCGTCCCCACATGACGCTGTGGGTCAAAACCCGGAGACCAAACGCTTGACCAAAGGAACTCCTGGCATCGCTACGAGTATAGGGGCTCCTGGCCTTACTACGAACGGAACAAGAAGCTACGAACGGAGCTTTTTCAGGAGACCTTGCTTGACCAACCGTCTCAAGTTTTGACCCATCCCCACATGTCTCCCGCCGTGGCACGGTAGGAGGGGCTCAGGTCGCTCAAGGGTTGGGTGATTTCAACTCCGAAGCGACCAGGGAAAAAGCCACCCGCCTGAGTGATCGAAGCAGCTTCAGAGGCCACAAGAGGCCTAGCTGTACATGTTGTATTCAACCACAAGGGGTCGTGGACCTTGTATACCTTGTACATCCTTGTACCAAGTCTTTGATGTCATCGAATACCTCTAGAAAAATCGAGAAAAGACATGCTTGACTTCACTTTCGGACGGAGTAGGGACAATTCACTGACCCGGAGGGCCAGAAGGATCAGGGATTGAAATAAGGGACCAAAACATACAATATCATATCACATGATGGGAAACTCATCAACATCATGTTGATTTATCATGCAAGGGTGCCACACTGTGCCACCATGTGAAAAAGAGATGGACCAATTTCCAGAACCACCTTGCTTCCTTTTCCTTGCCTTCCAGGCACTGGGGGCATGAGTTCTTGAATCTCCAAGCTTTGCTCGTTGGAGCCGTAGATCACTCCCATGTCCTCACGGGGAGTCTCGGGAGTCACGGAGAGAGACCATCCGACGTCTCGGTGCCACTGAAGAATCACTGTTACAAGAGTCCCTGAGAGGGAGGCTCAAGGCAAAACGATTCAGCATGTGAGTGTTTTCACCTGATCCAGACCATCCTGCGAAACACGTATCTCAAGACTAGAAACGGAAACTACTAATTACATGTTTTTGTTGGCTTCCGGTCCCAGTGATATCCTGAGCTCTGGTTGTGTTGGGCCTCCGTTTTTGCACTGCACTAGTCAGTTCTCATACAACGCCAGTAACGGAATTCCCACACCATGAAGAACTTACAATTGACGGCATCTTCTTGGCGCGAGTGCCGGGCGTCACGTGCATTTTTGATGAGTTTAGAGTGGCACCAGAGTTTCCCCACAGGCGCGTTCTGGGCTCGTGGACTATGGGCACCACATTCTGGTAACAATCCAGTTGAGACCACAAAGCACATCTGTAGAGTCAAATCTCCAGGATGATTGGACGGGTTGCTTCTGAAAACAGTCCACATAACTTCATATATAACTTGTATTATTGATTATGATACACTCAAATTTGAGAGATGGTTGACAGCTGGCGTGAACTCAACCCCCATTCAACAACATCACAAGGTACACTCTGAAGGCAAAGAAACGGTGTTCTTTCTCAAATTCCAAGCTGAGAAGCTTGAGGCAAGGTCAGCTTCACCTCAGCCAGGTCTCGGTGATTGAGAATTTACTCGTCTTGATTGCCGTAGAAAGAAATCCACCGTTGGGATGAACCACTTCTGTTGATGAGTAAGTCAAGCGCGCTTCCTCTATGTCAGAGCAAACGTGACAAAGGCTTCAGGTGGTGGATCAACAAACTTTCACTGTTCAACAAATCCAGACTGTATATTGACTTATACTACAAATCAGTCTGGATCTTTCCAAGGTCCCTACTTCGCCTGGGTGCTCGCACTTGCAACTTGTTTGGAATTGATCACCCGCAATGTCCCCTTCAACAACAACCTCAGGTTTGTAGAGTCAATAACGGGGCTGTGCATGGTGCATCAGGCTTTCTACTGCTCGCCTTTCTACTGCTCTTAGTTGTCCGGTCTATGTCAATCAACATTGAATTCAGCCGTGTCCAGTAATCTGTACACAATGTGGATGCGCACAAACCGCTGACCGCACAGGCGTGACAAATCCTCATACCAGGATTCTGCTGTGTGCTGGATGTGTCAGAGAAACAAATACTACTGTATATATATATATACATATATATAGAGATACTTATATATATAAGTAGATTTCATTGTAATCGAGGTTTGTTTCATTATAATCGAGGTTTGCCTCTTGTGATATCTTGAGATGATCTCTTGCAATGTTTCATGATAAAAGCTTTCATGAACACCCAGCGATCCTGCTCCACCTGACCCCCCTTCCATCCTTTTCACACACACTTGTGGAAATCAGCTCCTTGCTGAATGCTCCAGTAGGTCGATGGTAAATCTGATCAATCTTATTTAGATTGACGAACCCCCTCAAGCCATTCTGGTGGAAGAAGCTCACTTAGCATGTTTTTGTGTTAGCTGACAGGTTATATATTATCTCGCGCTCTTTAGCTCTCTACCCTGCAGACACTGGCTGTAGATCAGCACTTTATGTTTCTTTCCTACTGCTAAAAGGTCACCACTGGCTTGACTTTCAAAATCGAAATCGCTCAGGCAGCTAGCCACATGAGGCCACTTTCAATGGCACTCTACACAAGCCTGACTACCTGTTCAGCCACCATCTTCAAAGGCGATCGAGGAAAATATAGAGGTTTACCTCAGAAAGGGCCCAGCATGTGTTGGAACACAATGTTCATTAAGTGTGTCCTTTGTTGCACAGTGCCACTAGCTGCTAGCTTGCATGCGACATGGCTTGCCAAGCCACGAGGTGCGAGCTCCTGAGAGTGTGACACAGGGTGTCTTCTTGGAGTGGGGCTGATGCATAATTCAACCAAATACTTACTACTAGTCCTGGTCAGCCTTCACATAAGCCACTCTCCAATGGCGAGTCAATATTGGGCTTGCGTCCAACACCTGAAAGAGGGAAGGATTCAGCGATGGGTTCATGTTTTTCTGTTTTTCTGGTTCACTCAAAAATCAACAACAGTTCAGCAATGTTCATCCACAAACACGACATAGCACCTCACGAATGAAGCTGCTAGCAACAGTTGTGGCTTTGAAGGTAGAACTCCGGTGTAGGCGAACAGAGGCGTGGTAGCGTTCGGCTTCACAATGAAGTAGTCTTCTTTCAGGGGTGGGTCTGACATAATGATTGAACATAAGCTAATTGCATTCTGCAGTGTACCTTTCGGTTGACACGATTGGGGACGGAAGAAACATCAAACAGCAGAACCACTCCTTTACCATCAGCTTGTGTCCCAGGCCGTTCGACGCTATGACCCATCAGGGATGTGTCAACAATTCCTTCTTCTTCCATCTCCTGTAACAATTTCCTCATGGTGCACAGTTCGCTGTCGCTGGTGGCTTTGGAGGATTCACTCTGAACCTCCAAAATGAAAAGCATAGTGTCAGTGTTGAACTTGAAGGGAACTACGTTCTCCAAGGGGTCACCTGGCATGAAATGCTTTTGTAGCAATACCATAATCAAAACTGACATCCATAGTGATGCTCATGATTGTGTAAGGAGGCCTCTCTATTTTCCCAGATCTGGAGTTCTGTGGAGCAAAGTCCCACTCACTACTGCTACGTTGAACTCAGTAGCCCTAATCCCCATAGTGTAATTGGTCCTTACACCTGCCAAGCAAAAACGGCTTTGAGACAATGTGATACTCTTAGCTGTCATATTTATATACACACTCATGTTCAGTCAGTACAACTTCATTAGCAGGTGTTCTATGGACACTTGGTGAAGCCAACACAAAATCATGACGAGACCGTTTCAGGCCCAGATGATCTACGATCTACTAATCCTCGACCTCGTCACTCTCATTGGTCAGAGGCTCAGTCTCATTGCCCTTCGCAGGCTGATCCCTACTGCGCTTAGCCTTGGCCGTCTTCCTAGTATACGCCCCCCTCAGAATTCAGCGCCCGCTTGCTCCGTTGATCAGGGGTCATATTCTTGATGCAATTGAGGCGTTCCGGATGGTCCATCCACCTGGGATCAAAATAATAGAGGATGAGGAACTGATTTGCTGTTGGCTATGAGGGTTCCAACCGATATAGAATCTGAGTTATTGTTTTATCTGAGTTATTGTTTAGTGATTTGTCTGAGCCACGCATTCCTGGCCATCTTCAAAATCTCCTTGGCACTCATATCTGGATGCTGCCGCTTCAGCTCACGCTGTTTCTGGTGGACAACCTGCCAGTACTTCTCACGCATGTTCTCGGCGGATGTTGGTGTTTGCTCCGGTTCCTTGGAGGTGCCGGTGCTACCTCGAGGAGTCTTCTTTTGTCGAGGAGACTCACCCAAACGCAAGGTAGAAGCAGTCGATTCATGCTCGCTTTCGGCGTCCTCCTGCGAGTCGAACTCTTCCTCTGAATCCAATGGATTCTCCTGGAAAGAACGGGGAAGGAATGAGAGGAGGGACTAGAGGAGGGTTGTAGTGTGATTGGTTTGTGTTTCTAGGTCTCCTCATCGTCCTGGTCCTTCTTGTTTTGTTTGGCTTTTGCCTTGGCCTTTGCCTCCAAGATTAAACAATGACTTTTAATGCAGCACATTGGTTCTTACCCCAAAAATCAATGGAGAGTGAAGAAGGGATAGGGACATTCTGTTGTTGTTCATGCATTGACTTTTTCAGCTCTGAGAACGAATGAAACGAATACTGGCCTTCGCCCCAGCTTTTGCCTTTGGTTTCCTTGTAGCCTTAGCTTTTGGTTTCCTTTCAGCCTTCGGTTTTGGAGCTGCCTTCTTGGCTTTCGGTTCCTTCGGTCCCTTGCCCCCCTCCACTCGTTCCTGCCACAGCGATTGATGCTTTCACTGCCTGCGCTGCCTGTTTGGCAGCTGAAACTTTTTCACCAGCTGGTCTACCTCGTTTCTTTCCCTTCTCACCATTTACATGGGCATTTCCCTCAGCAATCTTTGACTGCAGATTAGAAACTGCCTCTGGTGTCAAGACCTTATGCGCAGACTTCCCTGAGCTGGTACTCGAAGTCAGTTGCACGACGCTTGACTGTTGAGCAGCCGCTGATGGCTTCCCAGTCTTCTGAGACACTGGCGTAGGAGGAAGTTTGGGCGTCTTGTTTTGCACCTAAGAGAAGCGCCCCGGACAAATTGAAGTCGAACTGGAGTGCTACATATTAAGACCCAGACAATCGCAGACGCAGGCGTGACACAAGCTTCAGGGCTACGGTCCAACATTGTGTTGAGGTCCTGAAACCAAAACCATTGTTTTGCAATAGACGACATAGTGAAACAACACATTCCAGGCTTCATTCCATACATCAACAGACTTACTCAACCCGGCCTGTTTGAAACCATGTAACGCCAACACTTGACTCAAGGCGCCACCATCGGACATTGCTAGGTGTCAATGGGCAAAGCCGGAGGAGCAACCTGTGGATTTATGCAAAAAAAGGGGCTGAGGAGGAAAGCTATGAAACTCACAGGCATGTCTTGAAGACATCGGAGCACAGTGCATTCCCTGGTGGAAAACATGGCAGCCCACCTGTTCCAGTATACTCTCTGGTGATTCTGGCAGCCTTCTCAGGCGCCATCCAAGTCGATTTCCCATGCGCTAGCAGCCACTCTGTCTCAGGAATCTCAATCTCTGAATGAGCAGCCTGGGAATGGCATATAGTCTGACAAGTGGTTGCTTTGCGTTGACATCTATGACATCTTGCGGATTAGTGGTTGACCTTTGATTTCAGCTAAAGAAAATTTAGTGAATCCACCAACCAAAGAACCATGAAGAGCTTCCATTTTTGATTGGGTAGAGCTTGTTCCCTGTGTCCCCCACGGTCTTCTGCCAAGGTCAAATACAGGGTTGTTCCTGGGATCTTCCCAGGAAACTTGCTTTCCACTAGGTACTTGTCAAGCAGGGCGGGGATGGTCTCTGGCTCCGAGGTCCACATGGCAGGAGCAGGGCTCTTCTCATCTTCTGCAGGCACGATCTTGCTATCATCCTCGGGGACGATGCCACTGCCACAAAACCTGAGTGGGAATCCATGTTAATATAATATTTTGTTGGATATATACTGGAAGGGTGGCTTTAGGTTATTATGCTTTTGGTCTTTTGCGAAAATGAACTTGTGGCACCACTGTTGGAAAAAACTCGTTCAACATGATTGAATTCAAATGCGAATGACTTGGAGTCAAAGTCAAGGATAAGTTCTTTCCACTTTGGAGCATTGACAGGATCCCCCAAATGTTTTGCCCTGATCTCGTTGGTCAAGTGGATCTTGTAGGCACTCCACCCCTTCTTCGAAGCATCGATTGAAATGCTTGCCATCTTCAATGGAAACTTTTCAAGGTCAACAGACTCGGCCGGAGGAGGTGAAGGGTCGTAGCGACGCGTGTGTGGCGGAAGAACCTTGCCCCCTTTCTTCCAATCCTGGCAAATTTGAAGCTGGCCAAGAATACATTCATAGAAAAGGTTCCATTCAGTGGTGTTTGAATTCATTCATGGCTGAGCTAACTCCTGAGACTCCATGCTATCATATTATCAAATATAATATCTATCGCCGTTATTCAGCCTTGCAAAGGAGACTTGTTTGG